TAGGAAGGCTCTTAAGGGTTGGGGGATGAAAATCATCTTCTCATCATTACTGATCCTTTCTGTCCTTGCAGCGCTGGTTCTGGTGTGTTAGAATCCTCCTCAGTCTGTTCATTGGAGCAGAGATTGTAGGTGAGTGTTTGATTCTTAGGGATAGGGAGAGGGCAGCCTAGAAAAGGAGAGAGGCTAGAACTGGAGAAGTAGCTCTTGGTGGATACTACCCTCTAAGTCACTCTCCTGAGTGCCTTTTGCTCATTTCTAATCTCTTCCGGATTAGTGGTTGAGTCCCCTTTTCTTTCCCATCATGCCCCTTTATCGTGCCCTATGTCTATGCCTCATGACCCCACTGTGTTACATTTTACCACCATGCTCCCCGTGTTCCCCCACTGAGCTTCTCCTCCCTCAAACCACCACTTCGGAGCAGCTAGGTGGCACAGCGGATAGAGCACCAGCCCTGGAGTCAGGAGGACCTGACTTCAAATCTGGCCTCAGTCCAAACACTTGACACTTACTAGCTGTATGAGCCTGGGCAAGTCACTTAACCCCAATTGCCTAACCCCCCCCCAAAAAAAAACCCCACCACATCCTCCTTTTGGCAAAAACAAAAAAACCCAACCCCCCAAAAACATCTTGTTCCCTCTCAGCCGTGCACTTCAGCGGGGATTGGGTCACCAGCCAAGTAAAAACCAATACCTCCTACAAGGCTTTCACCTCTGCCCAAGTCAGTGCAGATATCGGGCTGTATGTTGGACTATCAGGAGTCAACATCACGCTCACAGGTGAGAAAGGCGAAAGGAGAAAGTGCTTCTACCTGGCCCCTTCGCATTCTAGAGGTGACTCTGTGTCTTATTCTAGCACATATCCTGAGGTGGAGGGTTGGGGGCAGTGGGAAGATACATTTGTATCTATGTCTGGGACATTTTGGCAAACTAGGGCTACAGAGTTAGGACTTAAGGTCCCTAAGAAGCCTCCCTCTTTCCCTGCCCTGGCCAAGCCTCTCATCTCTCCCCTTCTGCGACTTGTTCCCCCTTCCCATTTTGATTTACTCTGAAGTTGCTCCCATTGCACACAGCGTAGACCCCCACGATCGCGCATAGAGACAGACTTGGCCAGACCCTTGCTGATCTCACCTATGCACCCTCCTCCAGGGACCCCAGTGCACCAGCTGAACGAGACCATCGACTATAACGAGATGTTCAGCTGGAGGTTTGGAGACAATTATGCCGAGGGGTACGAGAAGGCACTGCAGAAAGGGCTGCCTAACCCTGTGCTCTACCTAGCGGAGAAATTCACCCCGCTCAGTCCCTGTGGCTTGCATCACCAGTACCGGCTGGCTGGACACTACGCTTCGGCTACACTCTGGTGAGTGCACGAGTGGACTTGGGGGAGTCCACTGCGAGGAGGTGAGGTCTTACACTAAGCTTAACCGGCTTGACCAGCTCTGCAGCCCAGGGAACCTAATAATCAAAGCTGTGAGCTCCTGTCACCCCTAGGGTCGGTCAGCAGGTCCTAACTGATTGCTCCCACTCTTTGGTGGCTGATACCAACCACCCGCAGGGCTGCAGTTCTTACTTAAACTGGGAGCCTCATTCCATCCATCCATATCTTGGGGGCCTCCCACTTCCCATCTCCCACCTCCCACTCTCAGTCTTTGAACTCCCTGCAGCTACGCCTCGCGGACTGGCAAAAGGGTTACGGGGACGCGTCACAGTCTAGCCTGTAATTAGAATTTCCGACTGCCTGGGGGAAGGGTCTGTCTAGGGAGCTTCTTCGAGGATGTCTCTCCTCCTCCCCGTTTAACTCTGAACGCAGGCGACGCTGGGGGCTGGGTGGGGCGGGCTGAATGAGAAATTGATGGGGAGGGGGCGGGGATCCAGGGACTCAGGACCGACGACTTCTCCCCTAGTATCCAGTATGAAGGAGATGGGTTTAGAGCTGGAAGGAACCTTAAAAAGTAATCGAAGCCGATTCTCTCACTTCATTTTACAGATGAAGAAACCTGAAATTCAGATAAGTGATAGCTAGCAACCGTCAGAGGTAGGATTTGAACGCAGCTTTTCCTGCCTGCAAGGCCAGCAGACTGTCTATTAGGCCACGCCGGGAAGTCCGTTTCTTTAGTGCCCGGGGTTTCCCCGACTCCTTCTTCCGCACTCCCAACAGAGTGCTCTCCATTTCCGGGCTACTCTAACTTTTCTCCCCCTTTCCTCTGCAGGGTGGCATTTTGTTTCTGGCTGCTTTCCAACGTGTTGCTTTCCATGCCTGCTCCACTTTACGGAGGGTTCGCGCTGCTGATTGCCGGCGCCTTTGTATTCTTCTCAGTCTTCGCCTTCCTTACCATCTCCACTGTGCCCCTATGCCCGATCCTCGTAGGCTCAGAGTTCCTCAGCCCCAAGTATGGGGCTTCCTTCTGGACCACGGTGGCCACAGGTGAGAGAAAGGTGTAAGACTAGGGAACCCGGTAGGACTTGGGACAGAAAAATGGACTTCTGTAGTGGGTGGGGGCTTAGAAATAAGGCTAGATATGGCCAGTACGGGAATTTGCTTTGCTTCACTTTTATTCTTTGTTACAAAAGTTTGGTTTGGTTTTATTTTTTAATATGGGCGAGAGAGGTGAGGGGATATAAAATAGATACTTCTTAATTGAAAATAAAATAAAAGTTTGCAACAAAAAAGGAATAAGGGTGAGGGTCAGGCCTGGTGCCCTCCGGGTCCTGGGGTTAAGCCAGGCTCCAGACCTGGGGCGCTAACACCCTCTTCCCTTCTTCAACCTGTTGCAGGTTTCTTATGCCTGCTCCTAGGAGGGATGGTGGTGTGTCTGCACTACACACATCCCAGCACCCTGCACACTTTCCTGGACCTTAGTGATGACCTTGTAGTCCAAAGGACGAGCATGACGCCGCAGATCTACAGCAATCCACTTAACTTGCCTGAGAAATGCAAGCCGGAGACCCCAGACATACAGCTCCATGTTCGCTTGTAGGGGGCCTTCACGCTCTGGACTTTTGTTCCCAAATCAGGAGGGTGCGTGGGAGCCGTTTAGGATAGAAGCAGCCCCATAGGCCTCACCCCTCCATTCTCTGCTGGCCGGAGAGAGCGAGCGGAATCGCGGGTGACTCCCCTCTATGAACAGGGGCTGTCAGGTGACGACTATTAATAAAGACTCTATTCTTTTATTGGGGAAAAAAAAGCTTCCTATTAATTTCCGCAGCCTGAGTGGGTTCTGGGAGAGCAGCGGGCCTTTGCCGTCAAGAATCTTCCATCCCTTTGAATGTTGCTCCCTATGCTGGCGATCGCTCCTGACCTTGTATGGTTGGGACCTTGTACACAACCTCTTTCTGAAGCATCCCAGCCTCTCTGCGATCCCTGACTCCTGACTCTCTCAGCTCGAAGTCGGATCGTGGCAACAATGTTGCCCGGGGAGGTACTAGCCAGGGAGAGGGGCACGGAGAGGCAGAGCCAGGAACAGACTCTAAGGGCTGCCACCCATTCTACTATGTGATGGGTAAACCACGCCAGCTTAGACCTGCACAATTTGTGGTTTATGAGGTTCTTCTGCACCACATACAGTTGCCTTCTTCCTTGCAGTAGGGGTGAAACTAGGGAGGAGTCCCAAAATAGCCCAGGAAGGGGGCTTTCAGGGGAATCATGATTGATTCTATCCCAACAAATGCATCTCTGTGGGCCACCAATGAAACGGAGTACAAGTTGGATCCTCTAGGTTTCTTTGGGAATCCCAGCCATGAGTCCCCTTCACCCTACACCAACTTAGTTCCTGAACTGGAGGGTGGAGAACAGAGAAGTTTCTGAATTTACTAGCAGTCTAACCTCTCACTCAATTCTTTCAGACTAGATCTTTGGGATTAGGTCAATTGACAGAATAGTCATTGAGTTTTGGAGCCAACCCTCTGAGCCCTGGTCTCCTGTCTCTTAGCTCAGTATTTCTTTGACTAAAGCCTTGCTCGTTCTCAAATGTGGTGGAAGGAGGGGGTAATAAAAAGAAAGATGTCATAAATGGGGAAATTGGAGGTGAAGGGAGTGATAGTATTTTCCCAGTGGAATGTTTCACTTACTAAAGTATAGCCAGATAAATTAGGCTATGTAACCCCCTCCCTCCAACACACTGAGCCATAGGAAAGCAAATTAAAATGAAGTCCAGACATCTTCAAAGGGAAAAGGAAGTTACCAAACAAACAAAACAGGCTGACAAGTTTGAAATGAGGACTCAAATTGCCTGCATCTTTGATCTGGTATCCAGTGAGAGGAATCATAGGATAGAGCTAAAAGGGACCTGGAAAGGCATCTAGCCCTATTTTACATAGGAAGAAACTAAGGCAGAGGGAGGTGAAGTGATTTGATTGTTCTGTCAAGACCTTTAGCCTCTACCCCTACCTGCTGTCTCCCAAAGCCATTGCTCAGACTACAACAGCAAGGGTTAGACATTAGAATGTAGACTGTTGGAAAGGATCTTTACCCAGTTCACCTAGTCCAGTGGTTCCCAATCTTTTAAAGCATAAGGATCATAGGACTTCTTTTTAACATTAAAAAATTCCAAAACACCCCCCCTACCCCCTTGATATTTTGTTAAAGGTAAAAAGACCAAAATGTCATTTTTTGGTAGCATTGTGTATTCAAGACCCACAATTAGCAATCACTGATCCAGTCCATCCTCTTCCTCTCCCCATTTTAAAGATGAGGAAACTGAGTCTCAAAGGGATGAAATGACTTGTCCAAGGTCACATGGCTAACAAGTAGAATGTTAAGCTCCTTTAAGGTGGGGCTTTTGTTTTTGTTTTGGTCATTTGTATCCCAGCTCCTTCCATTGTGCTTGGCTTATAATAAATGCTTGTCGTTTTGAACTGAATTAACATGGTAGATTCAAGCTGAGACTTGAATCCAAGTCTTCTGGCTTCATGTCCAATGTTCTTGCGTTCATACCATGCTGCCTTTCTGGGAAGATATTCACCATAAACTTGGGGGTGGTAATCATGGTTCCTATGAGTTGGATGAGATTTGGAACTAGAAAGGAAGTCTCGAATGGTAGCAATTTGGGAAGGCACAAGTGTATGCAAACTGGAAATTCCTAAGAGATGGGGCTAGAGGGCACTGACATCTCCAAACTTCCTTAAGCTCCTAAATCTGGTGGGGTACAGGAGATGGGATGTTATAAGGAACTCTCTGGCTCTCTCTGGGGCTCCTCACTGGGAGCCTCTGACAGAGTTCTATCTTGGTCCCCAGGACTTTCTAGCGAAGTCCTGTATTGTGGACCCAGGAGTTCCCCTTCCTCTGCACCTGCTATCTTTTCCATTTCCTCCACCTCACTTTGGTTGAAGAAAATCTTCAGCCTGTCTGGTTGTATCCTGTGCAGCACCATCACAGCTAGGCCCAGCAGAATACACAGCAGCCCTGAGAAGGAGAGGAGAGTTAGCAAAGAAGTCTGAGACAGATATGTGTAGAGTGGGGGGTAGGGAGGGGAGAGAAGAACCATGGAGAGTACTCAGTATGAAAGGAAGGCATAGGGAGGGAAATGGGAGCCACATATGGCAAGGTGGGACTGAGGATGGGGAGAGCAAATGACACCGGACAGAAACAAGGGGAGGGGTGGTACACACTGGGATTGTCATTCATATCTCACACCCTTTTCATACGTGTACCCCAACACTCTATCCTGGGCTCCCTTCTCTTTCTGAATATACTCTCTGAGTGATCCTATAAAGTCTTATGGAGCCAATTATCACCTGCAAAAAATTGACCCTCAATTTACCAGTCTTCCTCTGTATCCTGAGCTCTAGTCCTGAATTACTCACTGCTTGTTAAATGTCTCCACCTGAATGGCCCACAAACATCTCAAACTCAACCTGGTCCTAGGCCCCAAACAATTCACAGTCTTTCCAAACCCCAGCTCATTGTCTCCCTGACTACAGTGTTTCTCCTTTCTCATCTATCCTCCACGTAGGTACCAAACTGATGTTTCTAAATTTCAGGTTTGATAAGTTATTCTCCTACTCAAGAAGCTTCAGGGGCTCCCTATTCCCTCCAGGAAAAAAAAATGCAGATTCTTTTATTTGGCATTCAAAGCCCTTTACATTTTGATTCTAGTCTGTCTTTCCAGACCCATTACAGATATTTCTCCCTTCCAGTGAATAGGGGAGAATAATCTGTGACTGGTCTGGAAAGATGGGTTCTGTAGCTGGATTCAAATCCTGCCTCAGATGCTTACTACCTCCCTGCTCTCAGTTTTGTCATCTGTTATATGAGAGGGTTGAGATAGATGGTCTCAGAGGTGCCTTTCATTTCCATATCTAAGATACTATGCTTGGCATAGCATCTCCTCTATCAAAGAACTGCTTCAGAGAGTAGTTCTTGCGCTGCCCCCTACAGGAAGAGCTGTTAATGTCTTCCCAAGTCACTTTGTACCTACTCAGGACATGTCTACTTGTGTGTGTGTGTGTGTGTGTGTGTGTGTGTGTGTGTGTGGTTTCACCCCATTTAAATGAGGACAAGGTCTAGTTTTGTCTTTACATCTCCAGCATTAAGCATAGTGCCTGGCACTAAGTGATGATAAATAAATGCTTGTTAAGTTGTTAAGGGATGAGGGAAGGAGTATAAGTAGGGGGACATTAACGAGGGGTGGGGACAAGGTGTAGAAAGGGATAATAAGAATAATAGCTACCATTTATACTGCGCGTTAAGATGTGCAAAGTATTTGCCATACGTTTGATCCTCACAATGAAATAGGGGAAATAGGTAATATCGTTCAGTTGTGTCCAACTCTTCATGGCACCACAGCTAATAAATGTCTGAGGCAGGATCTGAACTCAGGTCTTATAGACCCCAAATCCAGATCTTTATCTAATGTGTCACCTAGCTGTGCTTCGGGTGGGAGACATCACAATATAGCCATTACTACATGAAATGACCTTAATCTGTTGATACTTTCCAAGAAGCCATCCTGAGTAGGTAAACACAACAGAGGTAAGAAGAAAACCCATAGCAGAGTCCAGTCCTCTGGTGTGCTGAAGAAGGGAAAGGCCACCTCATTCCTCCCCTTCACTTCCTCGGCCCTCTTCCTGAAATCCCTCCAGGAGGGTCCTTACCAGTAGCCAGTGTGATCCAGAAGGCAGGTCCAGGTTGAGTATGCAGGGTGGCAGAACCCAGGCGGAGTGGACACATTGGGGTCAGTGTGGTGGCCGTGGAGAAGAAGATTAATGAAAGGATGAGGAAGACCCCTGTGGCCAGGAGCATGTGTCCACCATAAATTAATGCAGGCATGGAGAACAGCACATTTGATAACAGCCAGCAGAGGAATGCGACCCTGGTAAGGCACAGTTCAAGTGAGGAGAAAGGGACCCATAATACCCACAAGATTCTGGGGGGCTCTGAGTGATTCACCTCCATAGTACCTTTGGGCTAAGTACCATTTGGACTCTGTGCCTAGGAAGCCAGCCCCCTCCTACCAGGGTTTCCAGGATAGTAAAAGATTGTTGTCTAAACGAAGATCATTTTGCTGCCCTTCCCAGCCCTCTATCCTTACCAGAGCGTGGCAGAAGCATAGTGTCCAGCCAGGCGATACTGGCGGTACAGGCCACAGGGACTGTTTGGAGTAAATTTTTCTGCCAGGTAGAGCACTGGGTCAGGCACCCCCTTTTCCAGTGCTTCTACATACTCCTCAGCATAATTCTGTCCAAAGTGCCATCTGAACTGCTCATTGTAATTAATGGTCTCATTCAGCTGCTGTACTGGTATTCCTGGGGAAAAGAGACAGGGGAAGAAGGCCAAGGTCTAAGGACTAAGGGGGACAAAGACCAGAAGGGGTGTGTGTGTGTGTGTCCTGTGAGAGCCAGAGAGTGTCTTCTCTCATGTCCTACATGTTCAATAGGGCCAGATTCAAATAGGAAAGACAGCATGTTGGTGAGACAGTGGCACGGGAATGAGCAAGGGAAGAAAACCTTGGCCATGGCTGAGAGAAAAAGCTTGTCTCAGTGATCACAGGATTCTGCATTAAGAAAAGTACGATATCTCAGGGGCTCTTCAGTCTGATCTTCATTTTGAAGATGAGGAGGTTAAGTGACCTGCGTTAGGTCACATGGTAATCATGAGAGGCAGAAATCTGCCCATGTCCTCTGACCCCAGAGCCAGTATTTTTCCTGCTGTACCCATTCTGCATTCCTAACCTCCTCTACCCAAGCCCAACATCCCTTAAGCTCCCCTGACCCCAAGGTATGTGTTTTCCAAAGACACAAAGCCCCACCAGGATTCACCCAATCATGTCCTTTTACCTGTAAGGGTGATATTGATCCCTCGAAGACCTATTTGCAACCCTACATCTGCACTGATCCTCACGGGGCTGAAAGCCTTATATGTAGTATTGGTGTTGACCCGGGCCACAGACCACTCCCCACTGAAGTTCACGGCTGGAGAGGGAAGTAGAGTAAGAAGGGGGAGTGGCAAGAGAGACATGGGAGCATGGTTGGGTGGATGAGATCATTGGGTTCAAAGCCTTCCATTGCTCTCTCTCCTTTGTCTGGGTCTCTATCTGCTCCCTTGAGAGATACTTCCCAGAGCAATATGAGAAGGGGAAAATGGGTCAGCAAGAATATTATTATTATTACTACTAATAATAACTAGCATTTATACAGTGCTTTAAGATTTGCAAAGCATTTTACATGTTTCTTCATTTGAACCTCACAACATCCCTGGTAGGTAGGTGCTATTATTATCCTCATTTTACAGATGAGGAAACTGAGGCAGACAGAGGTTAAGAGACTTGCCCAGGGTCCCACAGATTGTAAGTGTCTGAGGTTGGATTTGCACTCAGGTCTTCCAGATTCCAATTCTCTACCATTTTGCTACCTAGCTGCCCCAAGTAATAAACAGCATAGAAACGCCTCTTCCTTCCACTGTCACCAAGACAATGCAATTAGCCATTTCCCCATTTTTGTTGCCGTTATCTTCTAGGGATTTCTAAGTTCAGGTGTTCACTTTAATTTGATTTCAACTACATAAAAATGTTGAGTGAAAACGCTCAGTATAATTTGCCCCTTTGTAGTTCCAGGGCTAGGCCACTAGGTGGCGCAGTGGATAGTGCACTGTGTTTGGAATCAGAAGACCCATTTTCACAAATTCAAATCCAGCCTCAGACCCTTACTAGCTATGTGACTCTGGGCAACTCACTTAACCTTGCATACCTCAGTTTCCTCATCTGTAAAATGAACTAGAGAAGGAAATGGCAAACCACTTCTGTATCTTTGCAAAACAAAAACCCAAATGGGGTTACGGAGAGTTGGAAACTGAATAATAACAAAACCCTGGTGCTTAACATCTCACTTGCCACAACAAAAGGCAGCTGGTGGTGCAGTGGATAGAGTGCTGAGCCCGGAGTCAGGCATGCCTGAATTCAAATTCAGCCTTAGCTGTGTGACCCTGAGCAAATCGATTAACCTCCATTTGCTTCAGTTTCTCCAACCGTAAAATGGGGATAATAACAACCTCCCAGGGTTGTCACGAGGATCAAATGGGGTAATGCTTGTTTAAAAAAAAAAGTTCTTAGCACCATGACCGACACAGGAAAGCACAGGGAAGGGAGGATCGTAGATTCATAGGCTTATGGGATTTGTTTCTAGAAAGGACCTCAGAAACATCTAGTACAGTCCTCTTATTTTATAGGTGTGAAACCAAAGTCCAGAAGAAGGGAAAGTTGTGATTTGCCCAAAGTCATGCCACTAGTTAGTGGCAGACCTAAAACCAGAAACTAGAAACCAAGTCTCTGGATTCCCAGGTTAGGGTAATTTTCACTATCTCTTCCTTCTTCTTTACACACACACACACACACACACACACACACACACACACACACACGTGTGTGTGTGTTTTAGACTATCTCACCTAGGGGTCATTTAGCAGCCTACTGTTAGGCAAGGGAGCTTTGACCTGCTCTCTTTCCCACATGGCTTGGTTTGCTCTTCCTAAGGTAGCTGGGTGCCCTCCTGCTCCCCAGAGATCACCATAATGGTACCAGACTTAGTTGGGACACTGGATCAGCTTTTGCCCACTGTAGCTTAGAATTTCCCAAATGATTCACCAGCCTCAGCCTCCTTGGTAACAGGCACGAGCTGGCACACCTTGCTACCTACAGATGCTTCTCACAGCATAGTGAGAGCTGGTATTTCAGTGAAGGGAACAAGGGCAGGGGTAAACCTGGGGAAATGGAGGGCCACATTTTCAGGGATCTTCTCTGTACATACTCACCCAGGGCGGCAGCTCCAATGAATAGACTGGTCACCACTCGGAGCAGCCAAAACAGCCTCTGAATTATGAGTTGAATTCAGCTGTCAAATCTCTTCCTCCCTCTCCATCCCACCCTAAACAATATTCAAGGTCTCTTCCTGGATTGGGTATCTCTAGAGTTGGGGTTACTTGGGGTTGGGGTCTCCTAGGACTATAGTCATCTTAGTTAGGCTGGGATTCCCCTAAGGTGGGGGCTAGATTTGGGACCAGAGACTGGAATTTTCTTGGGCAGGGGTTTAATGCCAGGGCTGGAGCATCTCTCTTACCGTCTTGCCTCGGATACCAGGCAGGATGCCAATGAAAGTGACCAGTACAGTTAAGAAGACTGTGATGATGACCGCTGAGGTGGTATCCATGGGGAAGGTGGGTTTGGGGCCAGCATAGAAGGGGAAGGTGTTTCCAAAGGCAGACATATTGATGCCTGGTCAGGAGGCAGGCTGCTATCATAGTACAAGGTCATAGATTAGTGCCTCAGATATAGTTTTTATTCTCATCCACATCCCACCAGCATTAGGTTATTCCTCCTCCCCACTGGTGCTGGCATCGACATCTAAGGAGTCATTGTTCCCTTCAGCATCTTCCAATGTATTTCTTCATAAACCTCAGTGGATCATGAAGAAGTGGGTTATAAAACTTTCAGTAGCTTCTTATTGTCTATAGGGTTACCCTCAGGTTCCCCAAATGAGTGCTATTACCACCCAAGACTTTGGGTTATCATCAGTGGATTTCAGGCTGTGGTCTCAGGACATATTCCTAACCTCTTTATATGTTCTTCCTGCCCAGACTACACAGATGATAAGTTGATGAAAAAAACAGTGTTTACTTATGAAGGTAGAAAAAAAAAGCACAGAAAAGAAAAAAATGCACTCTTCAGAGGTAACGCAGTGTATTAGGGTGCTGGTTTAAAGTCAAGAAGGTAGAATTCATATCATGCCCTAACTACTACTACTACTACTACTACTACTACTACTACTACTACTACTACCACCACCACCACCACCACTACTATTACCACCACTACCACCATCACCAACACTATTACTACTGCTACCACTACCTCAACTACTACCACTACCACCACCAATACTACGGCTACTACTCCTACCACTACTATTACTACCACACCATCACCACCACTACCACCACCACCACTACTACTACTACTACCACCACTACCACTAGCAGATATTTATATCGCATTTTAAGGATTTCAAAGTGCTTTATATATATTACCTAAATTGATTCTCACAGAAATCCCACGAGGTAGGTCATATTAATATTACCATTTTGCAGATGAGAACACTGAGGCTCAGAGAAGTTAAATTTGTTTCTTCTTTTTTTTTTGGTTAGGTAATGGGGTTAAGTGACTCGCCCAGGGTCACACAGCTAGTTAAGTATTATGTGTGTGAGACTGGATTTGAACTCAGGTCCTCCTGAATCCAGGGACAGTGCTCTAACCACTGCACCACCTTGCTGCCCCAAAGTTAAATTTCTTTGCAGGGGTCATGCACCTCATGAGTAACTGAGGTGGGATGTGAACCCCAGGCTTTTAATAATAGCTGTAACAATGCCTAACATTCATATAACGCTTTAAGGTTTGCAAGGCATTTCACATATATTATCTCATTGATCTTCACAACAACACCATGGGGCATGAAACAGAGGCTGAGAGAGGCTCAGTGATTGGGGTCACACAGCTATTAGGTGTCTGGGGCAGGATGGAAACCCAAGTCTTCTTGACTGTAGCTCCATCCTGTCTCCCACCTCATGAGCTAACTCCCTATTACTGGTTTTGTGTTCTGAGCCAAAGTCCCTAACCTCTCCCTGTGGTAACTCTGGGACTTATCTACAACATCATGAGTCTCCCTAGGCTGCTGAAATCACAGATAAGGCTCCAATCTCCACATCAGTCAAATGTCAGACGTTCCTGTCTGACAGCTGGCCCCAGGGCCCCTCTGTCTGACTACCCTGATGAAGTCCAGAGCTGTTGAATATCTCATCACCTGATGTTTGGCGTATAGGACTCAGTTTTCCTTCTGCCCTGCCCCAAAACAACAGTACCTGGCCTTCCTCTTCCATTCTTATTTCTAGGCTTTTTTCTTCCTTGAAATCATATCTTTGCTTTCTTCTACAGCCATTCCAGAGATGACTGGCTCCACATTTCTTTCTTTCTTTCTTTCTTTCTTTCTTTCTTTCTTTCTTTCTTTCTTTCTTTCTTTCTTTCTTTTTTCTTTCTTTCTTTCTTTCTTTCTTTCTTTCTTTCTTTTTCTTTCTTTCCTTCTTTCTTCCTTCCTTCCTTCCTTCCTTCCTTCCCTTCCTTCCTTCCTTCCTTCCTTTCTTTCTTTCTTTCTTTCTTTCTTTCTTTCTTTCTTTCTTTCTTTCTTTCTTTCTTTCTTTCTTTCTTTCTTTTCTTGTGAGGCAATTGGGGTTAAGTGACTTGCCCAGGGTCACACAGCTAGTGAGTCTCATGTGTTTGAAGCTCAGGTCCTCCTGACTTCAGGGTCAATGCTCTATCCACCGTGCCACCTCACTGCCCCTCTAGCTCTACATTTCTCAGGCATCAATGGAACCGGAATTAGACAGCCTAGAGCTTATCATTTCCTAGCTGTGAATGAATCTGAGACTTGATCAATCAGTCTCCTTTCTGACTATTTAATAGTCTCTTATTATGTCTTACAGGCATTCTGTTTTAATTTTGCAGTAGTGTCTTCTATCATGAGTAACATTCAGGTTGAAATATGGGCAACTCCTAATTGGAATATGGGTACCTCCTACTTTTGGGCAGCTAAGTGGTGAAGTGGATAGAGTGTAGGCCTGGAGTCAGGAAGACCAATCTTCCTGAGTTCAAATCAGACACTAGCTGTGTGACCCTGGGTAAGTTACTTATCCCTGTTTGCCTCAGTTTCCTCATCTGTAAAATGATCTGGAAAAGCGAAATGGCAAACCACCCCTGTATCTTTGCCAAGAAAACCCCAAATGGGGTCAGAAAGAGTTGGACATGATGACACCACCACCACCACAACCACCTACTTTTAGTCAATCGGTTGCCAAATTTTTCCAGGTTCTCATCACTCCTCACCTGGATTATTGTAACAACTTCCTTAATGATATCCGTGATTTCAATCTCTGCCCTCTCCAATATAACTCCCATGCTATTGTCAAAATACTCTCCTTAAGGCACAAGGCTGACCATGTCTCCAAGCAGCTGCCTACTCACTCCAATACCTTCAGGGGCTCCCTACTGCCTATGGGATAAAATTAAAACTATCATTTAAAGCCCTCTACATCTAGCTCCTTCTTATCTTCCTAGCCTCATTCCATACTACTCCCCTTCACAAACTCTTTCTCTCCAACCAAACTGGACAACTAACTGTTCCCCAAACTTATCATTCCATTTCCTTCCTTTGTATCTTTGTGCAGGCTGTCCCCTATGCCTGGTGCATGGTCCCTATTTAGCTCCACAGTTTAGGCTCCTTATTGTCAGCCTTTCCCTAGCTCTGTAGGGATCTGTCTCCCTAGAGATAGCTAGCTATCTCCCTAGCTGTTCCTACTCTTTCCTCCTCCTCCTCAAATCTCCTTGCATATCTGTCTAAATGTTCCTTAGGGGCAAGGGCCATTTTTTATTTTGCTCTGTTTTGTGTTTCTAATGCTGAGCACATGGAGATGGATAAATGCCTCTTGTGTACATCTCTTGTCTTGGGATCACAGACAGCACCAGTTGGGACCTTAGAGGTCATTGAGTACAACTCCTTTATTATACACAAAAAGGAAACTGAGGCCTCAAGAAAAGTTAAGTGACTCATCCAAGGTCATACAGGTGGTAAGTGGCAGAGCTCTTTGATTCCAAATCCAGCATTCTTTACGCTGAAACACTGTTCTCTCTCCTAGGAAAATATAATTGAACTAGATGTCAGGAAACTAGTCCTGGCTCTGTAACTAACTAGATGGATAACCTTTGGCAAATCACCAACTCCTTTGGCCCTGTTTCCTCATTTTCTTATTCTTTCTTTTAGGCAATTGGGGTTAAGTGACTTGCCCAGGGTCACACAGCTAGTAAGCGTCAAGTGTTGGGTCTAGGCCGGATTTGAACTCAGGTCCTCCTGACTTCAGGGCTGGTGCTCTATCCACTGCACCACCTAGCTGCCCCTCCTCATCTTCAAAATGAGATCCAACTCAGTGCTTTCTAAGATTCCTTTCCTCTCTAAATGATTGTCCTACCTTCTGTTCCCATTTTCCCCATCTGCCCAATCTTTATCTCTCCTTGCCCCAGTGGCCACCTCTCCTATTCTCACTCAATTAAAAAAATATATATCTTGTTTTATTTTTAATAATATTTTTATTTACCCCCAATTGCATGTAAAGACAATTTTAACTTTTTTTTTTTGAGGCAGTAGGGGTTAAATGACTTTTCCAGGGTCACATAGGTGGTATCTGAAGTCGATTTGAATGAGAGGTCCTCCTGACTCCAGGGCTGGTGCAGCGCCACCTACTGCTCTTGACATTCATTTTAGAAAAAAATTAAGTTCCAAATTTTCTTCCTCCCTCCCTCACCTCTCTTCTCCCCGAGACTGTAAGCACTTTGATATAGGTTACACATGCTCAGTCATGTAAACTTGGTCATATTGTGAAAGAAGACAAAGATCAGTGGGGAAAAAACCCACAGAAAAAAATAAGGTGAAAAATAGTATGCTTCAAGGTGCATTCAGACTCTCATCAGTTCTTGCTTTCGAGGTGGATTTTGTTCATCTTTTTTGGACGATTCTCTTCCTTCTCTCTGCCCACTCTCGGCTTTCCTTCCTGGCTTCACAGAAAAATGGTCACTAACTGTCTCTTAATTCCAGCTGTGCCAGTCTATATTTATATACAAACACATCCTCAAAGGCACACACAGAGATACAGACTGATAAAGGCACACACAAAGACACAGACAAGCAAAAAACTTAAGATCTCTGATCAATAAAATGGTCAGCCTTGATGGCAAAGGACTGATGCATATCTGTACTACCCACCTTCTAACAGACAAGTGATAGATTCAAGATGCAGAATGAGGCATACTTGTCTATGCATATTTGCTACAAGGGTTTTCCTTTCCTTTCCTTTGGGAAAGGGTTGGTGGGAGGGAGATAAAATAAATACTTGTTCATTGAAAAAAGAAAATGATTTTTTTTAAAAACCCGATATTAATAGAGGGAAAGAAACAAAACCTGAAACAGACTATCATTTATACAAAGAACAGACAGAGAAAAGCAGAGGTAAACAAAGACACACAAATAGAGAACCCATGTTCACAACGATAGGGACAAATACAGAAACGGAGTGACAAGAGAACAACAAAACGGGAACTGATTAGAGAGTTCACCAGATCAATTGGGAAGCGCTAATCCCTCTTGGAATTCTTGAGTCCTTTTTTGTGTTGTCACTAACGAGAAGTCCACCAGGGGGACTCTCTCCTCCCTAAAATGCTAAGCCTTTACTACACAAATAGATGCAGAAGTGCCTAGGAGTTTTCTCCCAACTCAGGAATCCAGCACACATAGTCAATTATGTATACAACTGGTATCTATTACAGCTACTACAGATGGGGAATGGTTCAGGTAAGGGGAAGGTTACGGCTTAGAGAATATCAGTTCTCTAAACCATTCAAGCGTGAGTACTTAGTGTGATTCAGGATAATAATCTTAAATAGGATTAATCTTTAAAAGGGCATAGGCTAGGTGGTACAGTGGATAGAGCATTGAGCTTGGAATCAGGAAGAGATTTATCTTTCGAGTTCACATCTGGCCTCAGACCCTTGCTAGCTGTGTGACCCTTGGGCAAGTCATTTGACCCTGTTTGCCTCAATTTTCTCATCTGTAAAATGAGCAGGAGAAGGAAATAGCAAACCACTCCAGTATCTTTGCCAAGAAAGCCCAAAAATGGAGTCATGAAGAGTTGGACACAGCTAAATAACCACAACAAAGGACGTAGGACAGCCCTGTTCTTTCTCTTAATTCCTGAAGTTTTGGGAGGAGTGAATGGGAGGGGGAAGGATGACCCCTCATCCTTCATAAGAGGGGACCCAGGGTCAAGCCCTACCAGTGCCACTCACAAGCTGTTTGACCTTGGAGAAATCACCTCATCTCACTCGGCCTCAGTCTCCTCATCTGTAAAATGACAGACTTGGACTTGAGGTGATCTCCAAGGTCCCTTCCAGCCTTGATATTCTGCAACTTCTCAGGGAATGTTCCTTTGGAGGCTGCTCTGAACAGATAATATGAAGGTAAATATAGAAATAAGATGGTTTGTTCCTCCAACAAAGAGTGGCACACTAATCAGCTTCTTATTCTAACCTGTCTCCCCTAGTCATTCAGGACTGCCACAGGGCAGCTGGGCCCGGAGTTTGAAAGTCCTGAGTTAAATCCAGCCTCAGATACTAACTGCTTAATCCTGGGCAAGCCACTTAACTTCTGTTTGTCCCAGTTTCTTCACCTGTAAAATTAGGATAATAATAGCACCTACCTTCCAGGTTTGCTGTGAAGACAAAATGAGATAATACTGTATTTATAAAGTGCTTAGCATGGTAGCTGGCACACAGTAGGTGCTTAACAAATGCTTATTGCTTTCTCTCCTAGCTAGAGGCCTATCTCTATTGCAGGCCCTGCCCTAGAGCAAAAGGAACAAAGGAGGAAATTGGACATGAAGTGATGTAAAGATTAAAAAGAATTTTGGGGGGAAGATTTAGGAGATAAGGATGAAGAGAGAGGACAGAATTAAGCTGTGCCCATCAAGCCAAGCTGGGGGAAGACTTCTGTTAGGTTTAGATCATAAAGCAGTGCTGATGTGCTTTGTATATACTGGAGGACAGGGAATGTAGTTCATCTTTGTATTCCCTAGTGCCCAAGCTTAATGAACATTCATTGAATTTATTTTTTTTGTTTGTTTTTCTTATAGGCAATTGGGGTTAAGTGACTTGCCCAGGGTCACACAGCTAGTAAGTGTCAAGTGGTCGGTCTGAGGCAGGATTTGAACTCAGGTCTTCCTAACTTCAGGGCCAGTGCTCTATCCACTGTGCCATCTAGCTGCCCGACATTCGCTGAATTGAACTGAATATTCTTGGCTTTATTTTTCCTTAGAAAAAATAGCTACTTCTGAAAAACTCTTAAATCATATGAAATTATTTTGTTGCTCCTCCTCCACACCAAAACACACACACACACATGCATGCACATACATACACACACTTGAAGGGAAACATGGTATAGTGGTTAGAGAACTGGCCTCAGAAACCAGAAGGATCAGGGTTCAAGTCTGATGCATGTACTGGTTGTGTGACACTGAACAAGTCATTTAACCTTAGTGCTCTAAGACTTAGACAGTCCAAGCAAGTCTAAGACTGCAAGTTGCAGAGAAAGTGTGGTCCTCTACAGGTAGGGGGCGTTTCCTCACCTGGGATTTCCCTGTACAAATTAAATCACTGATCCAGACCCTACCCTGTATCTAGGAAAACCCTCAGAGACTAACTCCCTCATTTTACAGAATAGGAAACTGAGGCCCAGAGAGTTGAAGTGACATAATTGCCCAAGGTTACATAAGTAGTAATTTTGGGGGATGGGATTCAAACATAGGTCCTGTGATTCCAAGACCAGTGTTCTCTCTGCTGTACCAAGATGCTTCCTAGAAACAGGAATCAATGCCCAACACAGTGACCCAGAGCAGAGGCCTCTAAAGGGGGAGCTGCAGCATGACCCAGAAAAGTGTGTGATTAACCAACCGGAGAGTGGGAAGGTGGGCCGAATCCCAACCTCCCTGTCATTGCCAATTTGGGGGTTTGTCTCTGTCCCAACCACACCACCCTTTACACATATTCCTCAACACTCTTTTCCTACCTCCTCTTTACTCCTCCCCCTACTTCTGTCATGTAAGCTCCCCACCTCTCCTCTTCTGCCCTGAGGGGCAGTCATACTCTTAAGAATTACTTGGGCACCTATAGCAACGTGCCATTAGGAAAATTCCTCTCTCCACCTCTCCCAACGTACCCACCCTGTGCCTCCCGGAACATCTTGTTGTTTTAGAGGTCAGGTAATTCTCAGAGGGTGGGCTCTGCTCTCTGAAGTAGTTACCTGGGAGTAAGAGAACACCCCCCTCCCTTTTTGTTTTGGGTTGCATAGTGTAAGTCATACAAAAGTGCATGTCTATATGTATGTAAATATACATACAGGATGTTCCTAAAGTCTTAGTGAAATCTGAAGTTTTAGGAGTATAAAACTGCACTAAGACTTTTTGAACACTGTATTTTAGAATGATATGCCCAAAAGTCTTTTTTTTTTAACTGATAGGGGTGTGGGATCAAAAAAAGCTTAGAGGGAGGGCAGCTAGGTGGTGCAGTGGATAGAACTCTGGCCTTGGAGTCATGGAGAACATGAATTCAAATCTGGCCTCAGAACCGTGACACTTACTAGCTGTGTGACCCTGGGCAAGTCACTTAACCCTATTGCCTAGTAAAGAAAACAAAAACAAAACATATCAAAAAAAGCTTAGAGGTTATTGACCTAGACTCCTAGAAGATAGCACAGTGCCTTGCACATAGTATGTGTTTAATAAATATTTGTATAATTAAATCAGTATCAGGGAGGACCCTATTGGGCAAATGATCATCCACCTTATGACCTGAAGAACCCTGGGAGAATCACAGAACTAGAGCAGAGACAGCAGGCAACTAGAAGGAATAGAGGAGCCAAAGACAGCTAAGGATAGAAGAGCCTTTTCCAGCCTGGGTGATCTCTTGACAGGTCCTTTGAGTGTATTCTTCCCGCCTCACCCCCCTTTCTCTCCCTTTCCTTTCCAAATAGCTTGAACTCCACCCATTTCCAAACCAGACTAGCAGGTCAGCTCCCTTACAAAAATTCTCTTCCACCAGAGACAGCAGCTTCCATCAGTTAGCACCAATTTCTTTTAAGTAAATAAATGATTTAAACTCCCACTGCTGTCTTTTTCAGAATCCACTGCTCAGTACAAACACTTTCGGCATACACCATAGAGAGATTGACTATTAGACCAGGGCCCACATGGGGCCATTTGAAGGTCATTGTCCTTTTTTGAGGTCTTCTGTGCACCTACTTAAAGTCCCTCTCCAGTAACTTACAATTGTGTGTTCCCTAACTTTCTGATTTTCCCATTTATACTAAATTCTGCATAAGCAATTGTACCAGACACCCTGAAACACTTCCATCTAGAGTCTCTACCTATAATCATTCCAGTCCCAGCTGGCTCTCACACCTCTTTCTATGTCATCCTCCCCACTCAGACTTAGATGTAAGAATCAGGATCCAGAACCTTCCCTCTCCCCGATTTCCCATACTGACCAAGACTAGGGATGGGTTTAAAGAGCTTGTGGTCCTGGACCCTCCCCACAATCTGAGGCTCTTTCCATTACCACCCACAAGATGAGTTGCAGTAGAGTGGACTGAGATGGAGGGAGGGAGGCCAAAAACTGGCAGCCTGGTGGGAAGAGCAGCCCTCAACCTCCATGCCTCTCCAGTTGGCCCCAGAATCCAACTTTGGTCACATCTGGTGTTCTCAAGCCCAGTGGCCTTTTTCTGGGCCCATCTCCTTCCACTCACCACCTCCCAGTACGATTCTCCCACTACCTCTAACCTTAGGTTCTGTCCAGTCCAGTCACACTGGTTCAGGGAGTGAGGTAGGCCGTGTCAGCATTGATCTCCCAGGACCACATAGGGAGATCACACAGAATCTCCCTGTGGAGCATGGCAGGGACTGGTGCTCAGGGGATTGCACAAATCACTTCTGGGTTTTAGATCTTAACTTTGGCCTTTGTCTTGCTCAGTGCAAGAAAGAGGAGAGGGTTCCCTTATTTCCCCCTGATTTCAGAGTGTGGGTTGACTGGGCTGAAGATGGTCTGGGGAGAGTTTAGAGACTATTTGGGGAGAGAATCCCTTCCCACTCACGTCTCCTTTCCCCCAGGTGCTCCTACTCTCTTTCTTCAGAGAAGCCTCCACAAAGCGAATTCCGCCCTCCTTTATGGAAGGTTCCCTACCACCCGTCTCATTCCTTCACCCCAAACCTGATGTGGCCGCAGGCCCAGCTCTCCGGCGCTGTCGATACCAGTCCGGAGCCAGAGCCGTCTCACCTGCACCTTTGTGCGCGCCCCTCGCTGCTCTCCAGTCCGCTCTGCTCCTCCCAGTGGGGTTCATCTAGTGCCCGCCCCACCGCTCCCTGAAGTCGGGGCCGCGCCCTCCACTCATATTCCCCCCAACTCCGCCCTACCCCGGCTCCAAAGCGGAGCCGGGAGATGAGTCTGAAACCTGACGGCGGCTGGAGCCACGCTGCATTCTGGAGGCCGGGGAAAAGAGTGGCTCGCAGGTCAGATGAGGGAAGGGATCTTTCTCGGGGTTCTGTGATACGGTGAACAGCATTTGACTCCACTGAGGGAGCTCCAAGGGATTGGCTATTGATCAATGAGTGACGCCTGCTCAGCCACGTTTCTGGAGGGCAATGGAAGGCTTCCAGCTCCAAACCCTGGAGCGCCTTTCTACTAGCCGAAGGGGTTTCGCTCTCATCCTAGGTAGCCCAGGATTAAAAATGGTACCCATAGACAGGCCTCCTTCCTTCACCTTCAATTCTATAGCCCGTTCCCCCCACCCCCACCCCGAAAAGATCTCTTCACGGAGATTTTTTTTTTCCTTTTTCCACCCCTAAGAATTTTGAGTGACTGGGGATGTTGAAGAAAGGTGTGGGTTGGACCTTGGTAGCTTTGTCCTGTAGGCATAGCACTTCTCCGCCCAGAGAGGGGTCTCTGAAGTTTAGAGATGGGGCTACCTTAAACACAGACCATTCTCATCAGAACATCCTGGGGGTCAACTGTTCCATAGGCACTACACAGTATTACCATTGCCCTGTGGTCCCTAAACTTTGCCTAACCATCTTCCATAGACTCCATCCTTTTTTTTACGAACCTTTAGAGACCCTGGGAAGGGTGATTATCTCCATCCTCAACCCTAATGAAGACCTAGCCCATCACAGAATCTTGAGGGACTGAGCTTGGGATGGGAAGGGCTTCATTTTGAGTATAAGAGGCAGGGATTTTGAATGGACAATATCTTAGACATGGGTATCTTTTGGAAAGTTTAGCATGCCCTCTCCAGCAGACTATACTGTCCAACAGATAATTCTTCATGGGCCACAGTTATCCTAAGAACAGATTATGGAGGGTGAGTGCCAGGCTGAGGATAATCCTAGAAGCAGTTGGGATAATAAAAATAAATAAATAATATTGGGGTTATTAATTATTACTAATGGGGTGTATGGAAGATTATTGAATAGAGGAGTGTGATGGTCAGTACTGTGTCTTGGTACTATTGATTTGCCAACTCTGTGGAAGATGGATTAGAAAGGAGAGAAACTGGCTATCCGGAGACCAATGAAGTAGTTATTACAATAGTCCAGGGGAGAGGTGATGAGTAACTGAAGTAGGGTAGGGCCATTATGAGTGGAGGGAAGGAGACTGATATGAAGGATGCTCTCTGTGCAGGTAAAATAGAGGAGACTTGGCAATTGATTAAATATGGATATCTATAGATCAATATCAGATTGATCAAATTTGGAAGGCAATGCAGAGGAAAGTGGGAAAGGTAACTGAATTTGTTAACCTGTGTGACTGACCAGATGGAATTAATTGCCTTTGACAGAAATAAGGAAGCTTGAAGAAGGGATTTGTTGGGGGGGGGGTATGACTCCTTCTTTTGGACATATTGAGCTCGAGATGTCTAAGGGACCTCCAAGTGGAAATGCTATTTATTATTATCACTGTGGTCATTGTCCCTTAAACTTGTATGACACTATTTAACTTTTCAAAAATGATTTCACAGTCATTATTATTTGATCCTCACAGCACCCCTGTGAAGTTGATAGGGTAGGCATTTTTTTAAATCTCCATTTGACAGATGAGTAAACTGAAACCCAGATAGAAAAGTGTCTTACTTAAAGTCATACAACTAACTAATTAATGGCAAAAGCTAGGACTAGAACCCAAGTTCCTTGATTTCCAGTCTTTCTTTCTCTCAGTTCTATGCCTTCCCTCTGTTGGTTATTTCCCATTTATCTTGTATGTAGTTTGTATGTACAGTTGTTTACATACTGTCACTTCCATTAGGTGAGCTCCCCAAACGCACATACTGTCTTTTGCCTTTCTTTATATCCTCAGCCTTAGCACAGGGCACTTAATAAAAACTTATTGAATGACTAACTAACTCCATCAGACCTTACTATGAAGGGAACGGGCCTACTGTAGGATTTTCCAATTAATCCCAACTGTAAATGAAATGCCTTTTGTCAATTGTTTCATGATGGCTGCGGTGGCTTTATTCCAGCTCCCCGGGGGTCACTCGTGTCTGGAAAGCCTTGGAATTGTCTATGTCCTCCCATCTTCTCTGCGCCTTTGTTTTTCAAAGGTGTCCAGTGTGGGGGTCTTCCAGGATATCAGCCCTGCTGTAAATCTGCATTATGAACTGGAAGTTGGCACTGACATGGACACTCTTGGTGGGTCCATGGGGCCATGAAGGTGAGTAGCATACTAAGCCGGAGAGAAGTAGGGGACTGAGCATCTTCTAAGGAGTTTCCTTTTCTTTTTTTTAATGTTTTACTGATGTTCTTTTCATTTATTAACATCACTGTCACTTTCCATAGACTTTGTCCTCCTCCCCACCAGAACCCTCTCTTTCGACAAATAAATTCATATGCCTTATTTCATACCTGTTGTTAATCCCCTCTTTATCAAGGCAGGGATGTATACTTGACCTTCAAGTCTTTGGAACTAACAGCTGGTCACTGAATTGACCATTTTTCTTTTGCTTTACTTTGCCGAGGGCATCATGTAAATTGTTCTCCTATTCTATTCACTTCACTCTATATCAATTTATAAAAAATTTCCCAATTATCTCTCAGTTTCTCATATTTGTTATTACTTAGGGGCCAAAAATATTCCATTAAATTTATATACTAAAGTCTGTGCAGCCGTTTTCAAATCAACAGATATACACTTTGTTTCCAGCTTTTTTTGATACTACAAAAAGTACTGCTATAAATAATTTTGCATACATGGAACATTTCTTTCTTTGAATCCTTGGAATATATGACTAGCAGTAGATAGATTTAAAAAGATATGTATAGCTTAATGGCTTTTTTTTAGTGTAATTTCAGATTATTTTCCAGAATGGTTGGACCAAATCACAGTTCCACCAAAAGTACATTAGTGTGACCTTCTTTCCACAGCCTTTCTGATATTTATCATCTAGTCATCCTCGCTAGTCTTCTGGCTCTAAGGTGAAACTTCAGAACTGTTTTTTTTTAAAATTTTTTTTGATTTATCAACAATCACTTCCATATGCTTTTGAGTTGAAAATTTTTCTCCCTCTTCCTCCCCCCCACCCTCCCCAATATGGCGCACAATCTGATACAGGCTTTACATTTACATACCCATTAAACATATTTTCACATTAGTGAAGTTGTAAGTAAAAATTAAAACCAATAGGAGGAACCATCAGAAAGATGAAACAAAACTCAACAGAAGGTAAAAGTAAGTGATAGTGATTCGACTTCCATAGTTCTTTCTTTGGATGTGGACAGCATTTTCCATCCTGAGGCCTCTGGAGATGTTTTAGATACTCGTAATGCTGAGAAGGGTTCAGTTTAACAATCTTAGTCATTGCATAACATGGCTGTTATTGTGTACAAAGTCCTCTTGGTTCTGCTCACTTCACTCAGCATCAGACCATATAAGTCTTTCCAGGTTTTTCTGAAGTCAGCCTGTTCATCATTTCTTATAGCACAATAGTATTATTCCATTACATTCATATACCACAACTTGCTCAGCCATTCCCCAATTGAAGGGCATCCTCCCAATTTCCAATTCTTTGCCACCATAAAAAGAGCCGCTATAAATATTTTTGTACATGTGGGTCCTTTTCCCATTTGTTTGATCTCTTTGGGATATAGCCCTAGAAGTGCTATTGCTGGATCAAAGGGTATGCACATTTTTGTAGCCCTTTGGGCATAGTTCCAAATTGTTCTCCAAAATGGTTGGATTATTTCACAACTCCACCAACAATGTATTAGTGTTCCAATTTTCCCACATCTCCTCCAACATTTATCATTTTCCTGTTTTGTCATGTTGGCCAATCTGATAGGTGTGATGTAGTACCTCAGAGTTGTTTTGATTTGCATTTCTCTAATCAACAACGATTTAGAGCATTTTTTCATATGACTATAGATGGCTTTAATTTCTTCATCTGAGAACTGCCTGTTCATATCCTTTGACGATTTATCAATTGGGGAATGGCTTGTTTTCTTATAAAAAAAAATTTTTTTAAGGCAATCGGGGTTAAGTGACTTGCCCAGGGTCACACAGCTAGTAAATGTCAAGTGTTTGGTCTGAGCCTGGATTTGAACTCAGGTCTTCCTGACTTCAGGGCTGGTGCTCTATCCACTGCACCACCTAGCTGCCCCAGAGCTGTTTTAACGTGCATTTCTCATTATTTTTGATTGGGAACATTTTTTCTCATGTGGTTGTGATAGCTTGTATTCCTCCTTTGATGACTGCTTGTTCATATCCTTGGACTACTTATCTGTGAGAGGAATGACTCTCGTCCAGAGGTGGGGAACCTGCATTAAGGCCACATGTGACCTTCTAGGTCCTTAACAGAATCCAAAGACTGCACTTAAGGACCTAGAAGGCACATGTGGCCTTAAGGCCGAAGGTTCGCCACCCCTGCTCTTGTCCCTATAAATTCATGCAAATCTTAGTAGGGTCATTATCTAAGATGTTAGAGTTGAAGGTATCCCAGAGTCCCAGGTTCTCATCTCTTTTAGTCAGCCCGAGGATGCTTCAATTGCATTGCCTATCTTGTCTCCTTTATCCCTCCAATTCCTCCTCCATCCTGAAAACTTTGTGTTCTTCCTTTCATCTCTTTACTTCTAGAATTTGATTCTGGCTTGAGATAGGACAAGAATGACTAGATACAAGTAGGTCAAAAAAGGGTCTGGGGCTCAAAGTGACCTCAAAACTGAAGGCAAATCAGTTGTAAAAAGTGATTGACAAAAGTTTAACCTACTGGGACATCGTCATGCTACACTCCAGCCTGGTTAAGTTTTTAACTAGTCTTGCCTACTTACTGAAATATGGAGAATAGAGGGGAGGCAGATATGTGTGTATATGCAAGTACATATACACATGTATGTATGCATGTATATACACACACATTTATATGTATATATGTGGAGAGACGCAAAAAAAATTGAGATAAACTTGGAGGAACTAGAATTGTTTAGCCTAGAAAATAAACATTTGAAAGAAGGTTGAAAAAAAAAACAAACAGAGAGAGAGAAAGAGAGAGAGAGAGAGAGAGAAAGGGGCAGCTAGATGGCAAAGTGGACAGAGCGCTGGCCTTGGAGTCAGGAGGACCTGAGTTCAAATCAGGCCTCAGACACATAACACTCACTAGCTGTGTGACTCTGGGCAAATCACTTAACTCCAATTGCCCTCACTAAAAAAAAAAAAAAAGAACAATATTAAATATAAAGGTATTTAAAACACTTCACAATCCGGCCTTGCCAGTGTTCTTATACTTTACCCCCTTCCACGTACTCTATGATCCAGACACGCTGGCCTGTTACACATGACCCTCTGAATCCCTTCAGCTTTTGCACTGACTATCCCTATACGCCTTTGTTCCTGGAATGCTTTGCTCCTTCACCCGTGCCTCTTGGCTTCCCTGGAGTCTTGCAAGACTCAGCTTAAATCCCCCTTTCTGCAGGAGCCTTTCCTGGTTCTCCCAGCAGCTGCTTTGCCTTTTTCCTCTGAAGTCACTTTCTGTCTGCTCTATGTATTTCTTCTCTCTGCTTACAAATCTGCCTAGTTACTCACAGGTTGTCTCCTTCATTAGAATGCAAGCTGTTTGGAGGCAGAGACTGTTTTTACTTCGTATTCCCAGCACTTACCACTACGCCTGCCTCGTCTTAAGCCTTCAATAAATAAAGGCATGTTGACTGACAGACTCCTGGGGTCTCCAGGACTGTAATTCTACCTTTAGCTTCCCTGGGTCTTTCCTTCTTACATTGTCATCACCATCTCAATCCCTCTTTTTGACCTTGATTTTTCACTCTTTCACCCCTTCCCCTCTTCCTTTGGCTCTGACTTGTCGCCACTCTGATCTTTATCCCCAGTCTCTCAATCCTCCGCTCTGTTTTTTTGCTCCAACTCCAGCAGATGAGTCATCTCCCATATTGGCCCAATGTGTCGCATGTTTAGTGGGTGTGTGGAAGAGACAGTTGGGGAGGGAGAGGGAGAAAGTGGGGGGATTGTTGCCAAGAGTCAAAGAAGAAACACCTGCTAATAGAAGCTCATGCCTCTCCACTGTTCCAGGTAGGTAAGCAGGTGAATTCCATGTCTATACTCTCATAATTTGGGGTGAGGATCCTGGCAGTGGACCCATTATACCTCCTGCTTAGTAGGACCCCTCCCATTCTTTGTCCTAGGCCCTTAAACTCATCTCCTACTGGCCAAGAAACTATTCTTGCTTCCTACTCTTCTCTGCCCCAACCACCAGGTTTTAGAGAGGAGTGGAATGGAGTCAAGGAGACAACAGACATTTCAGGGGAGGTGGGGTGCTCAGTAAGGATTTGGGGGTGAAGTCATTAACATGACCAGCCCAGACCCCAGTCCCTCCCAGGAAATGGGAGAAGAGCCAGGGCTAGAAAAGGCTTCAAATGCCATGGTCTCTCTGACCCCCACCCCTGCTCTGGGCCAGATCTGTGAGCGCCAACCTTCACCCCACCTGATGACACCCCTATGAGGAGGTTGAGGTTATAATGAGGTGACATTTCCTCTCTCACCTATGGGGTGGAGCTGGGATCTTCCCTTTGATGTTACTTTCTATGACCTTTTAGTTTTATTTTGAATTGAAACATGAAGTAAATTGTGCACTTCCATATAGGTTGTAGAACAGAAAAAGAGGACTTATTTACATTAAACTGTATGGGTAGCTTGCTTCCTTTTTAAAATGTAAAATCAGTTCAACCTATAGCTTTCTAATATTGCTTTTTTGGAGGCATGAGACTGCTATTGTACAGTTCCATCCCATACTGTTATGCATTGGCTATTTCTCAATGCCTCTTCCCTGCCCCTCAGCCCTTAGAAAGCTCTCTCTATGTCCTCTATCTCTGTGTTCTTGTGCCTGACACTTTTCCCCCCTCCCTCTTTTCCTTTTGTCTTCACTGCCCCAGGCAGGCTTTTCTGTAACCTGGTTTTCCCTTTTTGGTTAACAATTCCTCTTTATTTGACTTTTGGGGATTGCTTGCCAGGACTTGCCTTAGGCACCCAGCACGCTCCAAACAGAGGTGTTGATCTGGATATCTCTCTAGGCCAGGGGTTCTTAACCTGGGATCTTTGAACTTTAAAAGAAATCTTGATTACTGTATTTCAATATAATGAGTCCTCTTTGTAATCCAATATATTTTATTTTATGCGTTTAACAACATCATAGAAGCAGCTTGATGGGGGCACTGGAAGACCTTGACTTCAAATCTGGCCTTAGAAACTTACTAGCTCTGTAACCCTAAGCAAGTACCTTAACCTCTGTATGCCTCGGTTTTCTCATTTGTACAATGGGGATAATAATAGCACCTACCTTCCAGGATTGTGGTGATGATATAATGATATAATGTTTGTAAATCTCTTTGTAAACCTCAGAGCACCTTATAGATGCTAGCAATTGTTATTCTCAGAAGGTGTCCATACCTGCCAAGGGGTCCAAGACACAAAAAAGGTTAAGAACCCCCAGTATAGGCCTTCTCTCTTCCATCTATTTTCCATCAAACAACAATTCTCCATGTGGCCCCCGGCTTGGATCCCCCTGCTTAGATTAAAGTGTCCTACTTGCCATTGCCATCCTCTCCCGAACAGACTCCCTCCACTACATGCCCGCCATTTTGCAGGTGCCCGGAGCTCCATTTCTTGGGAAGTACAACGATTCAATGGCTGGTACAACAATCTTGCAGAACATAGATGGGGTAGCAAAGGTAGGTGGGAAGTAGTCTGAGATAGGTTCCCCAGGACCGGGGCTGATCAGAATGCAGTAGAGGGATTTGTGGAGCCTGAAGGGAAGAATAGAATGAGTAGGAAGAATTGGGAGAGGGTAAGAAAGGGGTGATGAAGATTGGACAGGGAAACTCTTCCTTGAGAGGCAGCTTGGGATAATGAAGTCAGGAAGACCTGGATTCAAATCCCAACTGACACTAACTAGCCCTGTAAATGAGCCTCAGTTTCCTCATTTGTAAAATAGGAAAGTTGGATTTGATGGCCTCTAGGGCACCTTTCAGGTGTGTATCCTAGGATCCCATCAATACCTATCTGTATAGTAGAGGGGTCCCTGGGAAGGGTTCTGGGCAAAGGGCAGATTTTTGGTCACTCAATTGACCATGTTCTCTTTATCCTCCCAGGCTCCCGACTACGGCGTCTGGTTCCTGCCACTTATGCGGATGGTGTGTTTCAGCCATTGGACGAGCCCCACCTCCCCAATCCCCGAAATCTCAGCAACGCCGCTATGCGGGGTCCAGCAGGGCAGCCCTCCTTCCGGAATCGAACAGTGCTAGGGGTCTTCTTTGGTGAGAGTGGGCAAGCGAGGGAGGAGGGTTAAAGAGGAGCAGGGGTAAGGTTGAAAAGAAAGAAGGCTGCTGATGGGGGAGGAGAACGGAAAGAGATTGGTGACCTAAGGAGGTTTCTAGGAGGTGGAAGGAGATAAGAAGGGAAGCAGATGAATTCAGAATTGGCTGGGAGTTGGGGTGTGTGTGTGGGGGGGGGAGGGCGGAAAAGGAATCAGGTCATCAGATCTCCACCCTGAGCGGGAATTGTAGATTCTTGTGGGAGTAGGTGGGAACACATGGGAGGCCCTCTCATGTGATTTCGCTAAAAGGCTGGGAAGGAGAAGATTTTCATTCAGAAATTAAAGATGAGCATGGTCCTGTGCCTCTGTGGCTCTTTAGGGCCAGCTCAGGGATTGTGGCCATCTAAGGAAGCTTAGGAATAGTTTCCAAGAGGAGAGAGGGACTTAAGAAAAGCTTATTAGACCGACTCTGGGCCTCTCTGGGCCTCAGTTCTCTCATCTGTAACATGAAGGAGTCAGAGTTGAGAGGCAGCTAGGTGGCCCAGGTGGACAGAGCTCTGGAGTTGGAGTCAGCAAGACCGGAGTCTGAATCCTGATTCAGACACTTAGTGTAGCTATGTGATCTAGCCCAATTGCTTCTTTTTCCTCAGCCTCAGTTTCCTTACTCTGTAAAAGGAGGTTGAACTTGGCCTCCTTCCAACTTTAAATCTATGATCCCGTGGCTAGGTACTACATTTGAATCTATGATTCTATCACCTAACAGATACAATTTCATTCAGTTAAACATTTATCAAGCACCTACTACATACAAGTTGTCATTCAGTCATTTCCAGTTGTGTCTGGCTCTTTGTGACCCCCATTTGAAGTTTTCTTGGCAAAGATACTTGGCAAAGAAAGGTTTGCCATTTCTTTCTCCAACTCATTTTACAGATGAGGAAACGGAGGAAAACAGGGTTAAGTGACTTGCCCAGGGTTACACAAGTCGTAAGGGTCTGGGGCCAGATTTGAATCTAGGAAGATGAGTCTTTCTGACTCCAGGCCTGGCACTCTATCCGCTGCACCACCTCGCTCCCCCTACTATGTGCAAGATATTGTGTTAAATATGAGGGATCTAAATCAACAGCCTAATTTTTAAAAAGGAAACTGAGGTTCAGATTCTGAACGCTAGCCTGCAGGAAGACAAAGAGCCTGCCTTGCTGCCCTTCTTGGGCCCAGCCCAGCCATGCCAGTCTCTTGTTCATGGGCTCCATGAGGGAGGGCGCCCTAGTCTCTTTACCCATCCACATTGCCACTGAGGTTGGGCAGGCCCTTCCTGGGCAAGCTTCCAGCTGGCATGTTGGAACCCATGTTGCCAACCCACTGGCTGGGCAAACTCACTGGGCACCTCCCTGGTTGCCAAGGAGAGGATCAAACCAGGAATGACAACAGCATGGACAGAAGGGATTGGTCCAGAGATGGGGCTTCAGGGCAAAGGAGGTGGGGGCATGAACTAAACACTGTCTGTCTTGGGGAAGTGAGTTTTCAGAAGCTCCAAGAGAAAGCTTGGTAGGATAACAGCTGACTTCTAGAGAGCACTTTAAAGGTGGCAAAGCACTTCAAATGTGCCATCTCATTTGATCCTCCAATGTAAGCTTTGTGAGATAGATGCTGCCATTTTACAGATGAGGAAACTGAGGCTCAGAGAGGTTAACTCACTTGCCCAGTGTCACACAGTAAATATTTGGCATGGGAATTGAACCTATATCTCTCTGACTTCAAACACAGAGCTCTATCTGCTATAACAAGATATCTCTGTAGGGGGCCCAAGTGTGTAGGGTGTGTCAACCAAGAAAATCTTTAGTCTTCTTCCTTATGCCTTGGCTGACTGTCCCTCCCCCAATCCTTCCCTGTCTTCCAGGGTACCATGTCCTCTCAGAAGTGGTCAGTGTGGAGCGGACAGGCTGTCCTACTGAGTTCTTGAATATCCGTATCCCAGCTGGGGACCCAGTGTTTGACCCCGGTTACAAGGGAGATGTGGTGCTCCCGTTCCAGAGAAGCCAGTGGGACCCAGACACTGGACAGAGTCCTAGCAACCCCCGGGACCAGGTGAGGTGATAGGAGGGGGTCAATTTGGAACTAAGTGAATATTAGGAGGAGGAGGTTGGGAGTAGCTGTCATCAACACCCTTTTTTCCCCCAAAGGAGTGAAGCTCATTGGGCCACTACAATAATGATGGGGAGGGGATTGTCATTGGCGCTGTCCTGTTGGGAGGGGGGCAGGATATGTGCAATTTCTCAGGCTCAGAGACCGACTGTGGTATATCCAGCTGGGTATTTGACTCATCTGCTATCACCAGCCAATGCTTCACCTCCCCTTACGTGTGTCACTATCCATAGACGAATGAGGTGACTGGCTGGCTAGACGGTAGTGCCATCTACGGTTCCTCTCATTCCTGGAGTGATGCACTGAGGAGCTTCTCTGGTGGGGAGCTGGCATCAGGGCCAGACCCGGCTTTTCCCAGGGACACCCAGGGAACCTTCCTCATGTGGACAGCACCAGACCCTTCCACAGGGCAGCGTGGCCCCCGAGGGCTATATGGTGAGGTCTCCAGGTATCTGGAGGGGCAGGGCAGACAGAAAAAGGTTTAAGGGGAGGGTAGGTTAGTGAATGACTGTGGGCCCATTTGAATCTTGGGATTAACGAGGATTGGGGGGAGTCAAGTGGGAGTTGGGGATCAGCACCTCAGTTAACGGAATCACCTTCCTCCCCTCCTGTTGGTTGTAGCTTTCGGGGCCGAGAGGGGGAACCAAAACCCATTTCTGCAGGCACTGGGTCTCCTCTGGTTCCGATACCACAACCTGTGGGCTCAGAGGCTGGCTCAGGAGCACCCGACCTGGGGAGATGAGGAGCTGTTCCAGCATGCCCGTAAGAGGGTCATCGCCACCTACCAGGTCAGCCCAGGGGCTGTGGTGGGTGTGGTGGAAAGAACACTGGTTTGGGTATTCTGAGAACTGACATCCTAGGAGTGGAGCTCTGACACTCTTCTAACTGGTCATATAATGTCAAGTTACCTTCTCTTCAGGCCTAAATTTCCCAACCTAGTGAAGGTGGGAGATGAGATAGACACTAAATTCCCATGCAGCTTTAAGATTCTGGGTCCCGGGGGCAGCTAGGTGGCGCAGTGGATAGAGCACTAGCCCTGAAGTCAGGAGGACTTGGGATCAAATCTGGGCTCAGATCAGACACTTGACAGTTACTAGTTGTGTGACCTTGGGCAAGTCACCTAACCCCAATTGCCTTAAAAAAAAAAAGATTCTGGGACCCAGAAACCCACTTCTGTCTCACAAGGCATAAGAATACTTCTTAGAGTAGGCACACAGAACAGCTAGGCGGCAGATAGCCTCGGAGTCAGGAGAATTCAAATCAGGCCTCAGACACATACTAGCTGTGTGACCTTGGACAAGTCACTTAACCCCAATTGCCTCCATAAAGAAAAATAAAATAGGGACATATCCAACCTCATCCTAGGGTGAGTCCTACCAGAAGAGAGTCTTGACCAGGGGCACCCCTACTCTGATGGTGTATGAAAATATTCCTTGTCTTCCACAGTAAACCCAAGCTTCCTCTGTACTTCCCTCTTTCTAGTGAGAGCACCACCATCCTAGGCACCCAAGTTCACCAATTCCTGGTCATCTTTGACTCTTCCCTCTCCCGAACCCCTCACAGTCAATCCATGGCCAACCCTTGTCCATTCTAGCCCCCCAGCGTGATGCCTTCTATCTGTGTCCTTCTTTCCATCATGTGGCCAGTGAACTAGTCCATGCTCTTCCCACCTCTTGCTTAGATCTTTTGCAGTAGCCTCCTGTTTCTAGATCTCTGTTTCTAGTCTCTCTTTCTGCCAATTCATTCTCCACCAACTGCCAAAATAATCTTCCTAAAGCACAGATCTGACCATGTCACTCCCCTGTTCAAGAATGTTACCTGGCTTCCTCGAGTCACTAGGATAAAATATAGTTCCCTCAGTCTGTCGTTTAAAGCCCTGAATAATCGGGCTCTAGCCTGCTTTCCAGGCAGATTTCACACTTACTCTCCTCTGGGCCAGCCAAGTGGGCCTACTTGCAATTCCCCAAACTTAGCGTGCCATCTGCCACCTCTGCCTTTACGAAGGCTGTCTCCCATGTGGTAAGGCACTCCCTTCTCAGCTCTGCCTTTTAGAATTCTCAGCTTCCTTCAAGGCTTAGCTCAGGAGCTGCCTTCTGCTGAAAGACTTTCCTGACCTCTCAGAAGCTGCCAAGGCAGTGCGGTAGACAGATTACTGAGCCTGGAGTCAGAAGGAGCTGGGTTCGGGTGTGACCTCGAACTCTAGCTGTGTGACCCTGGGCAAGTCCCTCAACCTCTGTAACTGGCAGTTACCTCCAAGGGTTGTTGTGAACATCAAATGAGACAATATTTGTAAAGTGTCTGGCACATAGCAGGCAGTTTGTTGTTCGGTTGTGACCCAGTTTGGGGTTTTCTTGGCAAAGATGCTGGAGTGGTTTGCTATTTCCTTTTCCAGCTCGTTTTACAGATGAGGAAACTGAGGCAAACAGGGTGAAGTGACTTGGGGAGCTATATTAGAGCCTAATCAGAAAGAGAACAGGCTATGACCAAAGGTAAGAGGCAGGAATGACCCTTCCTAGGGACTCCCCTACTCTATAGACAACGATTCCTCAAAGGTTCTCCCAAAATAATGCCCCACTGCTTTCTTTGTCCCCTTTTCTGTCTCTGTTCTCCTCTCTTCTCCCCATTCTCCCCACCTCCTGCCAGAGGCCTAATACGCTCAGGACGCATATTGACACTTTTTCTGCCCATTGTGGAAAATTGTTTTGTTTGCCTGTGAATAGTTGTTGCAAGGGTGTGGTGTTTTTGTTTTTGTTTTCAATTGGGCAAATTGGAGAGAGAAAAAAAATCTATTTTCTTTTATCAAAAAAAATTAAAGAGACAAAGTACTTGAAGCAATTTAACAAGCATTACTAAGCAATTTACTTAGCAATTTAAATTTACTAAGCAATTTAAAGAGCATTTACTGTATGCAAAAACATTGTTCTAAGAACTGGGAATGAGGAGGCAAAAAATGAAAACCGATTCCACTCCTCTCTCCAGCGCCCATAAATCTCTCTCCTGTCTTTCTCCTTCGGTCAGAACATCGTTCTGTATGAGTGGCTGCCCAGTTTCCTACTGAAGAAGACCCCAGAGTATAAAGGTGAGATGAAGCAGGGTGGGGTTGACATCCAGTAGGCACGAAGGAGTGAGCATGGACTTTGGCTGAATCTGGCTGGGGCATGGACAATGAACCCCAGGGCCATATTGCCTCCCCCTCCCCCACCCAGGGTATCGGTCATGCCTGGATCCCAGTATCTCCCCCGAGTTCCTGGCAGCCTCCAAGCAACTCTTCTCCACTATGGTGCCCCCTGGTGTCTACATGAGGTGAGGGGAAAGGCTGGGATGGGAGGGGCTTGTGATGAAGAGGAGTAATCAGTTGGTCTGTCAACAAGAGTTTATTAAAAGCCTACTGTCTGCTAAGCGCTGGGGCTACAAAGAAAGGGGGAAAAGGCAGGGAAAGGACAGAGCAAAGAGAAAAGAGACAGGAGGATGAATATGGAAGCAGAGCATCCTCTCTGAGGCCCAGTTTCCCGATTCTCAGATTTTAGTACCTCTACTTCTTCTAAGCAACTATGACAAGAGATTGAAGTTGTGGGAAGCTCCCTGGGGGAGATGTCTTCAGGACGAGAGCTATCCTTTCTAATGCTCCAAAGAGGCAAGAGCTGGGGACCATCAGCTGGAGGACCCCTGGGGTAAAAAACATTCCTCCTCCTCCCCCTGCTTTAGAAATTCCAGCTGCCATTTCCAGGAGGTCACCAGTGGGGAGTCAGGAGCCTTCCCAGCTCTCAGGGTCTGCAACAGCTACTGGAATCGAGAGGTAAAGGAATACGATGGCTGGGGAGATGACTGTATGTTGAGGGGAAGGTACCACTGGGGGTGGCAGCATTGGGGGAAGCTATTGGAAAATGGAGAGGCTGGAGGGTTGAGGATGGGTGGCTAACATGTCATGAGAAAAAGGAAGGCCACGGGCAGCTGGGTGGAGCAGTGGATTGAGCTCTGCTCTTGGAGTCAGAAGGACCTGAGTTCAAATCCAGCTGTGTGACCCTGGGCAAGTCACTTAACCCTGGTTGCCTCACCAAAAAGCAAAAAAAAAAAAAGGAAGGCAGTCTAGAATGACCCCAACCCACCTCCATTCCACAGAGAAATCCAGGTGGGTGGGATTAGTCTTTCCCAAATTCCCAGCACTCCTTGATGTTGTCGTTGGTGGTTGTCCTTTATTCTCTAAGAGGACCAGTGACATCACTGGATTCCTGTAGAGCCAGTTTGAGACCATGGCCCCTCTTCAGCATCCTTATTCTTGATCACTCACAAAAATTCTTTTTATTGGCTAGACCTGTGGTGAGTCCCCATTGAGTTTCTGTACCAACACAAGGTAGCAACTTCTTTGTAACTTAGGGTCTCAGAGGGTTAAGTGACTTTACAAGAGTCACACAACCAACATATGGCAAAGGTGGGACTGGAACCCAGTTCTTCTGGACTCCAAAGCCAGCTCTTTGTTTGCTACTTCAAGCTCTTTTTCTCCTCACAACTTAGTGAGATTCTTTTTTTTTTTTGAGGCAATTGGGGTTAAATGACTTGCCCAGGGTCACACAGCTAATAAGTGCCTGAGGCCAGATTTAAACTCAAATCCTCCTGACTCCAAGGCTGGTGCTCTATCTATACTACCACCTAGCTGCCCACAACTTAGTGAGATTCTGAAGCCTGAATTTCTAAATCCAATGTTTTCCCCCTGACTCTTTCCTATTCTCTGTGCTGTTCTGTGCCTCAGTATTTTCTTGCTTTTCTGCTCCTCCAATGGTACCCAAGGAAGAGATGGAGCATAGGACTATAGACTTAGATTTAGTGCTAGAAGGGACCTTCATTTTACAACTGAGGAAACTGAGGTCTTACTCAAGCTTACACAGACAAGTATCAGAGGCAGAATTTGAACCCAGGTCTTCTGGCTCAAGACGAACCCAATACTCATTCCTTAGGTGGCCTAGGATGATCTTCTGCCCCAGTATCCATCCATCCAAAAGATATAATTTTCATATATATCATTCCATGTGTTCCTCATCCCAGTGACCTAGTGAGGTTTGTTCAGCCAGTATCAGAAATCCTGTTTTTGGATGAGGAAACTAAGGCTAAAAGAGGTTAAGGTATTTACCCAAGGCCATACAGTTAGTGGCAGACCTAGAATTAGAATCTTGGTCCTCTGGCCCTTGTCACTATACTATCCGGCCCCAAGCACAAAGTTTAGAGGACATTTAGTGTACCCATATTCTCTTACTTTGATGTCTCTATCTGATGCTCAATAGCCCTGGCTTTCGGCCAGGTGTTACAAATCCTGGCTGTGAAAAGAGCTTGCAGGGAAGGGCTACCCTGACAACTTGGAACAGGAAGGAGTTCAAAGGAAACCTCCGAGACAAGGGCTGTCTTTTATGGAAAAACTGATCCCTGGTATGGAGCAGTACCTTCTTTCTCCAAAGAACCCACCAGGGATAGGAGGAGTTTCGTCTTCCTAGACAGAGTGTAGAACAGCAGGGCCAGGTAGTAAGATGGTCTGTGGCCCCATCATCTATTCCTCTTCTTTGCCCCCCTCCCCAGAACCCAAACCTACGTAGTATCCGGGGAGTGGATGCGCTGCTTTTGGGCATGGCCTCCCAGATTGCTGAGAGAGAGGATCATGTGATAGTGGAGGATCTGAGAGGTGAGTTGGTCTCTCTTAGTACTATGTCTTTATCCCTCTTCCCATCGCCAGTCACCTTGACTTATGTTTTGCTACTGGACCAATGGCTCGGGAGGAGAAAGTGAGGCTGATGACTTTGTCCAGCTCTGCCTCACGTAAATCCAATTCACTAGCAAGTCAAGGCATCACCCTCCTGTTGTCATTGATTGATTCCTCTCCCCCCCCCCCACCATCCCAAGAACCTCAGGCCCAATTTGCCCAGGTGTGATAACCCCACCCCAGGAAGGTACTACTGAGTCAAGTCCCTTTTCCCTACTCTTCCCAGTTCTCCCAACACAACCAAGTTGATGAACCATCCCATGGCTGATACAACAGTCTCTACTGGTAGGGGATTATGAGCCAGGCACAGGACTTGAGGGCTAGGACCTGGGTCTGGTGGAGGTAGCTCAGTTGGAGCTAATTAACAGGCCTGAGAGCTGGGAAATTAAGGTTGGGAGTTTAGAACCTGGGGCATGGGCTGGGGCTAGAACCTAGTATAGGGTTTGATCTAGGGAACTATCTCATTTCCAGATTTCTGGCCAGGGCCACTGAAGTTCTCTCGTACTGACTACTCAGCAAGCTGGTTGCAACGAGGACGAGACCTGGGACTGCCCTCTTACAATCAGGCTAGGGTAGCCATGGGATTAACCCCAGTCACCCGGTGGGAAGATATCAACCCTGACCTTTCCCAGAGGAATGGCACTGTGAGAATGAAGTGGAGGTTGGGGAGGAAAAAGGGGTGTGGGAAGACTGAGGGAGGGCTCAGGAGACCCAGCGAGGTGGGGGGCACTAGGAGAAGGGGCATCTTCAGGCAGTTCTATCTATCTGATTTCTTTCCCAACACTGCACAGCAGGATTCCAGCCAGGAGCAGCCACGGTGCTCTGCCCTGGGCCATACAAGGTCCTCTTTGTCCAGATACAGTGGGCTTCCTCTTTCTTGCCTAGGACCCTGGGAGAATGGCTGAGTGTGGGGAAGGCTTTGGGGCCTTTTTTTTTTTCCACTTGGAGCCATATCCTGATGTTCCACTCACTTTTGTCTTCAATATGGCCCCAGGTCCTGGAGGCAATAGCATCTATGTACCACCATGATCTGTCCCGGCTGGAGATGCTTCCTGGGGGACTCTTGGAGAGCCGAGGGGATCCTGGGCCCCTCTTTACTGCCATCATCCTTGACCAGTTCACGCGACTTCGAGATGGAGACCGATATTGGTTTGAAAACACGTGGAATGGGTGAGGCCTGCCCTGGAACTCCAATCCCCAACCTTAGTCCTGAGTGTGGGCACCCTCTCCCTTTCCCTTTGACACCCGTCTCTACACTGGGCTTCAGACCCCACCTCCCACCAGACCCTCATCCCTACTGTGAGTCCCAGATGCTCTTCCCCTTGGAACTCCCACTTTGGACCTGGTCACCAGCCTTATTGTGTTTCTTTCCTTTCTCCCACTTTTTCCAGTCTTCCATCTCATCTCCTATCCCTTTCCACTTTTGTTCTTGGGTTTTGAGGGTATTGTCAGCCTGCCTTTCCCTCCTTCAGTCCTAATTCAACATTTCTCTCTCTACCCATCTTCCAGTTTGTTCTCCAAGGAAGAGGTGGCCAAGATACGAAACACCTACTTTCGTGACGTCTTGGCTGATGTCACCAGTGTGGGCCTGGGTGCCCTGCAGCCCCAAGTCTTTATCTGGAAAGAGGGTACGTGGCTATTGGGGGAGCATAAGGTGCTTGTGGAGAATGGCCAGGGGGATGAACTGGGATGAGATTCTGTCCCTCTTACTTTGTTCCCCTCACCAGTAGGTTTGATTCAGTGAAGCTGATAGATGGGAATAGGAGAAACACTTGGTCTTGCCCTTGGCAATGCCGGCTCAGTGGTACAGTCAAAAGGTCATGGGCTCCAGAAGATCTGAGTTCAGATCCTGCCTTATTACCTTATTACACTTATTAATTACACTTATTACTTGGGTGACTTTTGTTCATGTCACCAAGTCTCAATCTCCTCCCTGGGCCTCCATTTCTTCCTCTACAAAAGAAGAAAGTTGGATCAGTTAGTTTCAAGGTCCCTTCCAGCTTTAGAGCAATAATCCTAGGATTCTCCCTGGCTCACCTAGGGAAAGGAGGAAGTATCTAGAGAGGGTTGCCCCCTTTGAGGAGAAGACTAGATCCAGAGGGGCCCAAGTTAGAACCCAAAATGGGGCTTAGAAGTGTCCAAGTCAGGTAGAGAAACCCAATCACACGACTATGGCCAGTGAAGATGTTCGGGCACGTGCGTGTGAAAACATCTGGATCAGTTTGGCTCTCAACTAAAGTTAGAATCAGCAGTCTGTCCTCCCTGATCAAACCAGGAAAAGGGTTCTCTTCTGCCCCTCTCCCTGCCCAGAACCCTGCTTGCTTTGTGCTCCTGATCCCCCAAACCTGCTCATCCTAGGTTCTTATAGGGACAGCCACCCCTACTCCATGCGGCTCCCCTTAGGTCTCTCCCAAGCTCTATTGACTGGGTAGTTCCTGTGAAGAAAGCTCAAGGAACAGGGTTCTTCTACCTCTGGAATCCTGGGGAAGAGGCTAAAGTAGGGCACAGTGGAAGAGCACTGGATTTGGAGTCGGATGGTATATGTGCGGGGGGGTGTCTGACCAGTGATGTGCTGGTAACTGCTTAATAACCAGCTCTCCAGAAAGGGGGTGGGGTGGGGAATTGTATATGCAATACATTTTAAAATTTAATCTGCATTATTAACATTCTGTCCACTATTTTTATAAGTTTAGGTAATCAACAAAACAATAAATAAAGCCCCGATTTGTAGCACTTGCTGATTTTGGGGGTACAAATGCTCATCCCCCAAATTTAACAATCAGCTCTTTGGAGCCAATTCAGGCCAGCTTCAGCATAGGTCTGGTTCTAATCCTGGCTCTGCCACTGTGTGATCTTGGGGCAAGCCACTCCCAAGCCTCCCTTTTTTCCATCTGTAAAGTGGAGGGGACAGTACTAAATGACCTTTTATTTCCCTTCCTTCTCTAAATCTGCAATGCTATGATCTTGACTATGGGTAATCCTTCTCCTGGGTCCTGACACTCTCCCCTCTGGCCTGCCAGGAGACCCCTGCCCACAACCCCGGCAGATCACGACTGAAGGCCTGCCCAGCTGTGTCCCTCTGGTGGTACTCGACTATTTCAAAGGCAGCGGCTTTGGATTCGGGATCACTATTGGGGCCCTCTGCTGCTTCCCATTGGGTAAGGAGGCCCTGGTCTGGGAAGCAAAGGTCTGGATGGGGACTCAGGAGGGGTTATTGTGGACAAGAGACAGTTTCAACTATTGAAGAATGCTCAATGGACAGTCCCCTCTTTCCTCTTGGGAAGAGGAAGGAGACAGAAAATGGAAACATAAGTGGAGAAAGGGAACTGAAAGTATTTGAGATCTACAGAAGCCTCTGAGAGGGGTACCCCATCTCAGAATACCAACCCCCCTTCCCAAATATACCCCCCTCCCCAAATCTGTTGGAATTTACTCCCTAAGGACCATGGGAAGTGGTCCCATGGAACCCCAGACCATTCTGGGTTTAGTCTGATTCTCCCTCTGCAGGCACGGCCCCTTGAACTTCCCCTTACCCCTTCTAAGGCAGGCATTCTCTCTCATGCCATGCACGTCCCCCTCCCCAAGAACTACCCAAGTCCAAAGATTCTCATCTGACATAGCTTCATGGGCAGGGAGTTCAAACAGGGCACGGCCTAGGGTGGGGCACCAAGTCAGATGTTCCCCTGGCTCTTCCAGACAAGTCCAGCTACACATTCCTGGTGCTATAGGTTTTCCTGTTCTTCAACCACAGTGTAGCTAGGGTACTGGATGTTCTCCAGTCTCGCCACGGTTGGGCATGTTAGAGACTGAGGCACAAAGTGAGGGGTGGGGAGGGGAAGTGGAAATAAAGCATTTTCACGTACACTATTTCATTAGATGCTCATGACACACCACGGAGACAGACAGCACATAGGTTCCATTTTAAGGATGAGAAAACTGAGGTTCAGAGAGTCTAAATGATTTCTCCGTGTTCACCTGACTAGTGAGTAGGAAAGCCAGATTTTTTTTTAAACCCAAGTGTTTTTGACTCAGTCTTCTTCTCTTTTCACTATACCACATAGTGTTGAAGGAGGCTGGATGAGACCAGAAGTTATGGGGTCTGAGTTCTAAACCTACACACACACATATACACACCAGCTGTGTAACTTTGGATCACCTTTGTAATCGTCGTTTAGCATGTGTGAAACGAGGAAGGTGGAATAGGTGACTTCTCTGCCCCTTTTCAGTTCTAACATGCTGCAATCCAGTCTGTTCTTCCCCAACTGTGTCTAGGACAGGGTTGGGGGAACCTTCGGCTTCGGGGCCACATATGGCCCTCTAAGTCCTCAAGTGCAGTCCTTTAACTGAATCCAAACTTCCCAGAACAAAGCCCTTTAATAAAAAGATTTGTTCTGTAAAACTTGTTTAAAAGGCCACACAGAAGGACCTAGAAGGCCACATGTGGCCTCAAGGTTGCAGGTTCCCCATACCTGGTCTAGGGGCTAGAGACGGCTTGAGTCCCCAGGGAGACCACTGTGCCCAAAGGGCCATAGCTGATGTCCTATTGAGCTCAAGAGGATAGAACCAATCTCATTTGCTGCCTTTGTTTCCAGTTTAACACTTTAAGTAACACATGAAGGCTTCCCTTGCTTAACTAGCGATTAAAATTCAAACTCATTTCCCACCCACCTTCACTCCCACCCTTATTAGACCTGGGAGAGAACTAGAATGACTTTTCTTCATCTAAGCTCTAGCTTATCCCAGTTACTACTCTGCCACTCAAGATACAATACTGATAGCTCTTGCCCCCTCCCTGGTCCCCATAGCCAGCTGGTTTTCTGCTCCTCTTCTACTCTATGACCTTCTGTCCCCCTCCACTATCACCACCTCACCTTCCCAAGGTAGGCAGCTTCATGTAGTGGCTCTGTCTCTGGACTTGGGTTCAGGAAGACCTGACTTAGAATCTCACCTCAGACCCTTACTTGATATGTGACCTTGGGCAAGTAAGTAACTTAATCTCTGTGCGCCTCAGTTAACTCAACTGTAAAATGAGACTAACAATAGTACCTACCTCACAGAATTGTTGTGAAGATCAAATGAGATAATAATTGCATAAGTATAATAATTGCGAAGTGCCTGGCAAATAGTAAGCACTCTATACATCTTAGCTTATTGTTATTATTATTAGGCTCTGAGCTTGGAGTCAGGAAGACATGAGTTCAAATCTAGCCTCTGACACTTGCTAGCTGTGTGATTTACTATTCACTTAGACTCTGTCTCAGTTTCCTCAACTGTAAAATGGGGATAATAACATCTACCTACCCAGAGTTGTTGTGAAGATCAAATGAGATACTCTGAGTACAAGACACACAATGAGCTATGAGATCTTGGGCAAGTTACATTCCTTCCTGCCTCTGTTTCCCAAATGTAAAATGGAGAGAAGAATAGACCCACCTCCTAGGGTTGTTGTGAAGATCAAATGATGTTTGTAAAATGCTTAGCAAAATGCCTGGCATATAGCAAGAACTTAATAAATCCTTGTTTCCTTGCCTCCTTTCAAATATAAAGCATTTTACAAACCTTAAAATGCTATGTAAATGTTTTATTGTTATTATTATTAGTCACTCTGTAGTCCCTGTCCCTGCCCCTTTCTCCCTGGAGCTGTCTTGGGACAGCTAAGTTCCTCTTAGAAGCCTTATTCTCATCCCCTTCTCTGGTGAGCTGGTCTGGGGTAATAGCCATCCATGGGAAACGTGTGGAATTCTAGAGTGGGCTCAGTAGAGGTTGTTTCTGATGGCCCCAGCCCTAAAGGCCAGAGTAGTCTGGAGTCAGGTCAAGTTGGCCCTGGGGTTAGGTGGGAGGTTTTGTAAAAAGGCAAATCCTTATTTTGGTCTTCCCCAGAGCCTGGTTCAGAATTAGCTCTATTAAGGGGACAGAGCAGCCCCAGGTGAGAAGTAGGAGCTCCTAGGAGGGCCAGATTCCAGGGGCCTGAAAGATCAAGATTGAGCTGAAGGAGTCTCTCTGACAAGGGAGACGGGGTGCTCGTTGAGGAATGAGGCAAAGACGGTCTGTCCTCTGACCCCTCTTCCCATCTTTGCTTCCTGAAACCTTTCCCACGTCTTGCTCCTTTCCTTGAAAATCCCCATTACTTCCCTCCTCCAATTGCTTCTCCCCCTCCCCAACCCTTTATTCAACCCCTGAACTACCTCCTGTCCTTGCATCTTCCTCCAGTCAGCCTGCTGAGTGCCTGGATTGTTGCTCGACTTCGAAGAAGGAATTTCAAGAGGCTTCAGGCCCAGGAACGACACAGCATCATGTCTGAGAAATTCGTGGAGGGTGTGGAAGGTGAGCCTGGGATTGGTGGTGGGGGTGGAGGTGGGGCAGGTCATGGGATTAGAAGGAAAGAAAACAGGTTGCTCCAAAATCAGAGCTGCAATGCCATCCCCACCAGCCACTCCCCAAGTTGTCCGGAGGAAGAGATGGCAATCCCTTGTTCCCAAGCATCTCTTGCTTATCTGGGGGCAAGAGACCAAGGCTAGAGAACCAGGAGGCCTCTTAGAGGCTATGTCTATTCTATTTCAATTAAATGAGCATTTATTGAGCACCTCCTCTGTACCAGCCACCATACCAGGCACTGGGTGATTCAAAGACTAAAAGAAAAAAAAAAGTCCCTGCCTTCAAAGAGCTTAAATTCTCTAGTGTTGTATAGTGTACTATTATAGGGGAATGCAAAAAGAGCAGTGGTGGTCAGCAAACATCTCAATGTCAAACCTCTTGCAGAATATTACCAAAACCACCCTCTCAGAAAACTCTTCCTGAAACCATCCTGAAAACTCTCCCCCCAATGGTCTTCCACAATAGAACTCTACAGGATTTATTGAGCGGTGCAGTGGATAGAGTGCCAGGTTTGGAGTCAGGAAGACTCATCTTCCTGAGATCAAATCTGGCCCCAGATACTTACTAGCTGTGTGACTCTGGGCAAGTCACTGAACCCTGTTGGCCTCAGTTTGCTCATCTGTAAAATGAGCTGGAGAAGGCAATGGCCAACCACTCCTGTATCTTTGCCAAGAAAACCCCAAATGGGGTGAAAAGGGTCAGAAACAACTAAATAGCAGCAACAACAGCAACAAATCATGTGCCCACACCTGGACTGGGAAAAGAGGGATCGTGATAGAGTAGGAGTGTTGGATTTGAAGTTGGACGTGAGTCACCTGAGTGACCTTGGGCAAATCATCGCCCTGCTGTCTGCCTCAGTTTCCTCAACTGTAAAAGGGATATAATAATAGCAGCCACCTCCCAGGGTTGTTGTAAAGATCAAATGAGATGACATTTGTAAAGTCTTTCACCACAGTGCCCACCATTTGGTAAGCACTGTATAAATAAATTATTATTATTATTATTATATTATTATTATTATTATTAACCTTCAAGGTTATCTAGGCCATCTCCCCCACCAGCTGCCAATTTTACAATCCTATTATGCTATGAAGTAGTGTGAGTGGCTGAACTCTTGCAAATCCTTTCTTGGCGGCCTATAGCTGTAGAATGCCTATTCTTGTGATTATAGTTAGTCTGTGTCCAATTGGTAGGGAGGGCAAGGACATCTCCTAAGGATGTGAGAAAAACCGGGAGCATATTAAGTACGAGCAGAAACCCTGATCCTGACCTTGACCCTAGCTTTCTATTAGGCTACTCTTTAGCTAAGAGATCACCAGTTCCTCCTACACAATCCTTCATGATTCCTCTACCTGACCCTGTCACTCTCTGTCCGTCTGTCCATCTGGCCAGCCATTGAGTGGCAGGGCAGGAAGGAGCCCTGCCGGCCTGTACTCCTGAATCTCCAGCCTGGGTGTCTTCAAGTCCTGGATGGCCGGCTCTCATTGCTCCGTGTCATCCAGTTCCGGGACTCCCAGAAGATGACCTTAATCCAGTCTAACAACCGGGGCCGACGGGCGCTTCTGCTCAAGATTCCCAAGGAGTATGACCTGGTACATCTCTTTCTTTTACTGCTATATCTACTGCTCATCTCCTGCCCTACAAAGAAACATTAAATGACTTGGCCAGGGCTAGCATACTGCAAATGAAGTTACCCTGACCAGCACTGATTCACAGTAACATCACTAATCCTTTATCATTGACTTCCATGTAAGTCACTGTCCCAGCTCTGGCTCCAAAGCCCAGTAGGTCTCCCCGTATGCTTTTATTCAGTACAAAGGACCTTCTGACACTTGTTCCTTTTCTGGGTCACCTTCTTCTAAGGAGATCCGCAGACTCCTCAGCCAATGATCCTGGGGAGAGAGGCTGTTCATATGTAGCCAACCCCATATTACTTGAGATCCCATTGAGTTTGAAAGTCTTTGGTGGGAGGCTGAGTCAGGGGCCAGGAGCCAGGGTCTGTATGGCCTCAGCTTAGAGCAGCAAAGCCAACTGCCCTCAGCCTCTCCTTCCTCTGTCCTTCACCCCCTTAGCTGTTGCTGTTTAACCTGGAAGAGGACCGGCAGACTTTTGTTCACAGTCTTCAGGAGGTCCTGAAGAGCAGTGGGCTGACTTTCCAGGAGTGGGAGCTCCGAGAGCAGGAAATGATGAGGACCACTGTGACTAGGAAGCGTCGAAGGCACATCTTGGAGACCTTCTTCAGACATCTCTTCTCCCAGGTACTCTGTGGGGCAGTCTGACTGTAGATCAAGGACTTCCGTATATTGGCATGGGAGGCAGTGGGGTAACCAGATTAGATTCAGAGAACCTGAGTTCTAGGCCACGTTCACCATTTGATTTTCTCTGGGATCTTTGTCCTAATCTAACTTAACCTCTCTGTACCCTAGTTTCCTTATCTATAAAAGAGGGCTGCTAATATGTGCCCAGCCTCTGAAGAAGGCTGGAGTGAGGACCAAATGAGCTTGAAAATGCAAGTTCTAGCCAGATATGAAGGATTGTTACCCATGGTTATGAGATTATAGATACAGAGCTGGAAGAGACCTCAGAGGCCAACATGAGGAAACTGAGGCTATTAGAGATTGTGACTAACCCAAATCTCTTTGTGGCACTGATTTTTCCAAAAGGGGCTGCCCAAGTTTGCTTCCCCCCCCCACAATATCCTACCCATAGAGCTCTGGTTTACTCCAGGGTGAAGATAGGAGACATTGGCAGTGTAGCCAGGCCTGTGTATTTACCTCCTCTCCTTCAGGAAAGTGTCAAGATGGGGCAGACTTTTAGTCCCTCTAGCTTCCTTTCTTTTCCTTCTCCTTTCCCTTTAGGACCAGTCTGCTTTTCACCATCCTTTAAAGACCAGGCTGAGGTTGGGGTCCCTGAAGTTCCCTCCTTCCCCATCTTTTTATATTTGCCTTATATTTGCCTTCACACACGTGTTCAGATAACCTTAAATGAAACTATAAATCTATTGTAATAACAATATTTTTATAGTTTTTGATTTATTTATTCCTTTCAATTTATTTAGTTTATTCATTTTAATTTTTTCTCAATTACACATAAACAAAAAGTTTTAGCATTAGGTTTTTTTTTTTAATTTTGAGTTCCAAATTCTCTCTCTCCCTCCTCTCCCCCCATTTGAGAAGGAGGGGAGTTCTATATAGATTATACATGTGAAGTCATGCAAAACATTTCCATACATTTCCATAGTTTTGTAAAGCATTTACATGTACTACCTTATCTGAGTCTCACAGCAAGCCTGTGAGGCAGTTCCTATGACTATAGATGAGGAAACTGAGGCCCAGAGAATTTAAGTGACTTACCCAGGGTCACTAAGCTAACCAGTGTCTTAGGTGGGGCTTCAGATCCAGGTCTTCTTCACTCTGAGTCTAGTACTCTGTTCACTCTAGTTGGGATGCTGCCTCTCATATTTATGTGCTTCTTTAAAGTTTACTAAGCATCTTCCTTGTTTTATGGAAACAAAATAGAATTATTTATTTATGGAAATAAATATTTCCATATTATCTCCATTTTACAGAGGAGTAAAAGAACTGAGTGATTTTTGTCCAGGGTTGGCATACCCTGGTTACCCTGACCAACTTTGATTCACAGCAGCATCATTAAATGTTTTAATGGCCTAACCCCACCCTTAGTTAGAAACCTGCCGAAGAAAGTATTCAGGCACTTCCCAGAGATGAGCTCAGCCTAGCCCCAGTGCCCAGGAGGAGTCTTTGTTCTCTGTTCCCCAACCCCAGGTGGAGTTTGCTGCTTCTTCCCCTCAGCCCTAGAGCAATTTCTCCAAATTCAAAGTCAGTGTCCTGTTTGTTTTATTGAAACCATACCCAGGCTATTCTGAGAATCATCTGCGTCATCTCTCGCTATGCTTTAAATTAAAAGTTAAAAGGAATCTCTTTGAAGGAAAAAGTTAACCCCTCTTCTCATTTCCTTTCCAAGTCATGTTCTTTGGTACCCACCTCAGTCTCTGTGAATACTTTCCTTAGACACCAAGAAGAGGGGAAGGGAGGGAGCAGCGTGGTGTAGAGGAAGATGTGCTGACTCTATAATTTGAGGACCTTGGTTCAAAAGATCTTGCCTCTGAAATCATCTCCCTGGACTTAAACGAGTTATAACCTCCTTGGGACTCAGTTTCTTCATATATAAAGTGAGAGGGTTGGAGCAGATGATCTCTGAGGTTCCTCCTGTCCCTAGATCTACAAACTAATGAAGAAAGCTCCATTTATATTTGCTTCTGTGCAACCCAAGTGGCCTCCTTGTTGCTGTCTGATTCCCTAGGTTCTCGCTGATCTTCGGTCTCTGTTCTGTCCACCAATATTCTGCCATCCAGATAAAGGTCCTGATTCGTGCCACCACTGACCACTTATCATCAGTCTCAGAAACCTCATGATTCACATGTGCCAAATAAGGGAGACATTCGGGGTTTCTGTTTACACTTGCCCTAACATGCATCTGCTTACTCACCCTTGCCTTCTCCCCCATATAATCCACTGAATCACTCTTAACCAGAAATCACTGCTCCATTCAACCCCTGAAGCTGGCATACAACCAGAGAGACTTCTTACTCTCACTTAATCTCTAAACACAAGACTCACATTCCTTCCATGCTCCCTTGATCACCAATCCTTGTTCTCAGACTCGTCTTTAAACTTCCACTCAACCAAAATTGTCCCTAAAGCCATTTCCTGCTCCTCAGAAATAGGTCTGGGGATTCACAAGAAGCTCTACATCTCCAAACTTTTCCCCCAACCCCTGCTTCTTGATCGATTTTTTTTTTCCAACCCCACGGTGTCCCCAGCTCCTGACACTGTGAGGGATAAGAAGTATAGTACCTGTCCTCAAATAATTAATTGAAGAGAAGAGCAGAGGGGTGGCACAATAGATAAAGCACTATGCCTGGAGTCAGAAAGATTCATTTTTCTGAGTTCAAATCTGGCCTCAGACACTTACTAGCTGTGTGACCCTGGGCAAGTCACTTAACCCTGTTTGCTTCAGTTTCCTCCTCTGTAAAATGAGCTGGAGAAGGAAATGGCAAATGACTCCAGTATCTTTACCAAGAAAACCCCAAATAGGGTCATGAAGAGTCAGATACAACTGAACTACAATTGAGGAGAGGCAGCATATGCACATGAAAAGATAACTCATCCACAAGCATGATGTGATTTTTAAGGTCCCTTACAAATCTAAGGCTTATGAGCCAATGACTTAGTGACAGATGGACTAAAGGAGCTTTAGGAATTTAGATGGAGAAATCACTTTGGGGTGTGCTGTTGAGTGGCTAGGTAGAGTAATGTATACAGTGCAGGAAAACCTGACTTTGAAACTTGTCTCAGATACTCACTAGCTATATGACCCTAGGAAAGTCATTTAACCTCTCTGTGCCTCAGTTTCCTCATCTGTAAAATAAGGATAATAATAACACCTACCTTCCAGGGTTGTTGTGAAGATAATGAGATAATATCTGTAAGGAGCTTTGTAAACCTTAAAGCATTATATAAATGCAAGCTATTATTATTATTGTTGTTGTTGTCAAGGAAGACTGCATGGAGGAGATGGGTATGATCTGGGCCCTCAAGGACAGGTCGGATTTGAATGGGCAGAGAGAAGTAGGGAGGGAAATCTAGACAGAGGGAAATGGTGAGAGCCAGGTGGCAGATGTGGGGTGGGGCAGGGCATGTTTGGAGATGAATGAACAGAAGTTTGCCTGGAGTAGAGTATTCATCTGGGTTAATAACGTAAGATAAGGTACAAAAGGTAGGTTTGGGCCAAATTGTACAAACAATAACCATATGCAAATAGTCCTTTAGTTTGGGGGAATTCCCTTCACTCATGTGTGACTGTAGGTAAATAAACTCAGGTAACTGACATTCACAAGTCGGAGGTGAGATTTGAATAAGTCTTCTTGACTCTGAGGCTGGCAGCTCTATCCACTACACTACATTACCTCTCAATGGCCTTAATGACGTCTCATCATCATCATTATAATATAATATAATATAATATAATATAATATAATATAATATAACATAACATAACATAACATAACATAACATAACATAACATAATAAATAATAACATAATATAATATAATATAATATAATATAATATAATATAATATAATACTGTTTTGTATGTGGGAAAGTTAGGTGGTGCAGTGGATAGAGTTCCAGGCTTGGAGTCAAGAAGACTTGAATTCAAACCTGGCCTTAGATACTTCCTTGTTTGCCTCAGTTTCCTCATCTGTAAAATGAGCTGGAGAAGGAAATGGCAAACCACTCCAGTATCTTTGCCAAGAAAACCCCAGATGGGGTCATGAAGAGTAGGACACAACTAAACAACAACAGTTATGTATATAATAACAATAGCTAATAGATACATAGGTATATTACATATATACATATTTATAGCACCAACTACGGGCCAGGCACCTTACTAGACATTTTTACAAAGATGATCTCATTTGATTCTCACAACAAACCTTCCAGATAGATGCTGTTACTATCCCCATTTTACAGATGAGAGAATAGAGGCAAACAGGTTAAATGACTTGCCAAGATGATACAGCTAGTGAGTGTGTGAGAACAAATTTGAACTCAGATCTTCCTGACTGCAGGCCTAGTGCTCTATCTACTGCGTCACCTAGTAGCCTCATTTTATATGTGTGTGTGTGTGTGTGTGTGTGTGTGTGTGTGTGTATGCTTCTTTGCTTTCAAAGCACTTTCCCATTTATGAAAGCTAGCACATACACAGAGTATCCCTAAAGTTTTAATAGCTTTAAATTGCACTAAGACTTTCGGGACACCCTGTACTATTAGATTATAAGTGCATTAGTAGGACACAAAACAAATTGCTAGGTGGGTTTGAGGGGAATGTTGCTTCCAAACAGGAATAGGTTATATCTCAGAAGAAATTCCTCTGAGATTTGAGATGTGTTCCTGTCACTCTATCTTCTAATTGCATGTGGGAAAATCGTAATGGCTCTTCTCTGACACTAAGCCTCATCGCCTTAGAGTCTGGCTCTTGGCTGCCGTGATCCTCTCAGTCTGCAGAGCTCAGCTGGGCTAAGTCACTCCTAAGGGCCCAGGCACCATCTCTGCAGCTGCCTGGACCTCAGACTGATTCAGGGTTTAGAGAACTCTTTGCCCTTTTCCTGTGCTTCTGTTGCTTGGTGGTAATCAGAGACCCTGGGGAACCCTTTTTTCCCTCCCTTCCCTACAAATAGGAAAGCAGATGCTGCTGCTTTTACTGGTGGCATTTTTGTCCCAGGTAAAGGATTAGCTAATAATCCCTAACATCTGTAGAGAATTTTAAATTTTAAAAAATGCTTTCATGTCCATATCTCATTTGAGCCTTACAAATCCCACCGGAGGGAGACAAGACAAATATCATTCTCATTTTAAAGATCTGAAAATTCATACCCAGAGAGAGTTATTGCCATCAGGTTATAAGACTTGGAGCTAAAAGGAATCTCAGAGCTTACTGCATCCAAGCCCTTCATTTCACAAATGAGGAAACTGATGCCAAGAAAGGGAAAGTGATTTATCCAAGGCCAGCTAGATTGCAAAGTAGACGGAGTGTCAGGCCCAGAGTCAGAAAGACTCATCTTCCTGAGTTCAAATCTGGCCTCAGACACTTACTAGCTGTGTGACCCTGGGCAGGTCACTTAACCCTCTTTGCCTCAGTTTTCCTCATCTATAAAATGAGCTGGAGAAGGAAATGGCAAACCACTCCAGTATCTTTGCCAAGAAAACCCCAAAAGGGGTCATGAAGAGTTGAACATGACTGAAAAACAACAAACAATAAAGTAAAATCCATGAGATCATAGATTGAGAACTGGAAGAGACTTTAGAGGTCTTGTAGGCCACGTTTTCTCATTTTAGAGATGAGGAAAACAAGTCACAGAGAGGTGAACTGAAATGACTGAAAAACAACTGAATGAAGAGTTAGGAAATGTGGGCTCAGATCCCAGCTCTACTACTGATCTAGAATCAGTCACGTTATTTCTCTGAGCCTCAGTTTCTAAAGTATAAAAAGAGAAGTTTGGGATAGAGAGCTTCTGAGATCTCTATCACTAATAATGTTCCTTCTAGATTTAACAGTTTGCTAATTTATAAACCTCACTTACTGGGGAAAAAGATGTAAGGATCAAGTCCCTACTAGAATCTCACCTTCTTCAGGGAGCCTCACCTAACTCCTCTTAATTCCAGTGGTAGTCTTTTAATCATTTCCTATTTATCCTACATACATGCTTTGTATATATTTGGTTTCACCTTATCTCCCCCATTAGATTGTAATTTCCCTAAGGGCTGGGACTATCTTTTGCCTCTTTTTAATATCCTCAAGTGTTTAGCACAGTGCCTGGCACATAGTGGTGCATAATAAATGTTTATTGAATTGAATTGATCATAGGACCCCAGATTTAGAGCTGGAAGGGACCTTAGAGGTCATCTGTTCCAACTCCATTTTACATATGAGGAATGGCAGCTCAGGGATCTTAAGTGACTTGCACAAGGACCGGGCAATTGCATTTCAAACAATCAACCAACAAGCATTTATTAAGCACCTACTGTGTGCCAGGAACTCTGCTAGAAAGTGGGGATACGATATAAAGAATGAAACAATCTCTACTCTCAAGAAGATTACATTCTAAGGGAGGAGACAAGTAGAGATGTTATTATACAAAGTAAATATAAAGATAATACTCAGTAGTTAAGGAGGGAAAGAGGGAGAGATGAGCAGTTGGTACAATCAGGAAAGCAGACGGCACTTGAGATGTGTCCTGAAAGGAATGGAGGGATTGTATAAGGTGGAGATGAGGAGGGGGTGCATTCTAGGTATGGAGAATGTCCAGTGCCAAAGGCGGAGAGATGGGATATGTAGTGTTGTGTCTGAGGAACAGAGAGAAGGCCAGTTGTGCTGGATCACAAGGGATGTAGTGTACAGTGAGGCTGAAAAGATGGTTTGGGACTAGGATTTAGCTATTAAAGGTAAATAGAGGGCAGCTAGATGGCTCAGTGAATAGAGCATTGGGCCTTGTGTCAGAAAGACCTGAGTTCAAATCCAGCCTCAGATGCTTTCTGGTTGTGTGACCCTGGGCAAGTCACTTAACCCTGTCTATCTCAGTTTTCTCATGTGTAAAACTAGCTGGAGAAGGAAATGGCAAACTGCTCCAGTATCTTTGCCAAGAAAACCCCAAATGGGGTCACAGAGAGTTGGACATGACTGAAAAACAACTGAGCAATGAGAGAAGGTACCCTTCTTCCCATACTTTCAATGTTCCCATCTGCCTTTCTTATCCTAAAGGTCCTACTCTTGGATTACTGAGGAGACACCATGACTAGAATTCTCTTGACCCCCAAGACAATTTCTTTTCCAGTCTGACTCAGACTGGATGGCCTCCAACCCAGCCACGCTCCCTGACTGACTTCCTTCCACCTTCTTTCTCCTGTTGTTCATCTGCAGGTGTTGGACATTGACCAGGCAGATGCAGGGAGCCTGCCCCTGGACTCATCTCAGAAGGTGCGAGAGGCCCTGGCCTGTGAGCTGAGCAGGGCAGAATTTGCAGAATCTCTTGGCCTCAAGCCTCAGGCCATGTTTGTAGAGTCCATGTTCTCTCTGGCTGATAAAGATGGCAACGGCTACTTATCCTTCCGGGAATTCTTGGACATCCTGGTGGTCTTCATGAAAGGTAGGAGAGGAGCAAGGGTGGACGAGGAAGGCTAGACTGGTAAAGGGAGGAGGGAGGAGGGAGGAGGGTTACTGGGGAGGGCATGGCCTGGGGAGCCTGAGCTTAGAAGGTGACCCTTGAAGGGGGATGGTAGGAGATGCTCACCCTATTGGAGATGGGTTTGAGGGGAGGGGTGGGGGGGGAGGTACCTGCAAGAGAGACTCCAGCAATGGCAGGGCAGGGACTAAGGGGCTTAGAAGTTGAAATGTGGGGGCAGCTAAGTGGCGCAGTGGATAAAGCACGGGCCCTGGACTCAGGAGGACCTGAGTTCAAATCTGGTCTCAGACACATAACACTTACTAGCTGTGACTCTGGGCAAGTCACTTACCCCCATTGCTTAGTCAAAATAATAATAATAATAATAATAACAATAATTTAGAAGTTGAAATGTGATGCCTAGAGATATCAGTTTAGTGGCAAAAGTCCTGGATTTAGAGTCAGTCACCTGGCTTTGATAATTACTTTCTATGTGACAAGTCAATCAAAATAGGTACAACTTGGGGGCAGCTAGGTGGCACAGTGGATAGAACTCTGGCCTTGGAGTCAGAAGGATCTGAGTTCAAATCTGGCCTGACGCTTGATACTTACTAGCTGTGTGACCCTGAGCAAGTCACTTAACCCCAACTGCCTCAACAAAAGAAAGCAAAAAAAAAAATAGGTACAACTTTACCTTTATCCAAGACAAACTGAAGGAAACACTAAACTTTAAGGCACTATAGAAACAGGTATTACTGTTACTATTCTAAGTGACAATAACCTGGGTGTGGTCTCTTTGTCTGCTGTGAGAGCTCTCTAAAGCTGAATTTCCTTCAGAATGTCTCATGAGCTTATCTAGGTTGGGGGAGCGTGGGGTTTTCCTCTGGAAAATGATTGGGACCATGGCGACCTTCCTCCACCCAGGCTCCCCTGAGGAGAAGTCCCGCCTCATGTTCCGGATGTATGACTTTGATGGGAACGGTCTCATTTCCAAGGAGGAGTTCATCAGGATGCTTAGGTCAGCACCGTGACAGCTGCCAAGAGGGAGGGGTGGGGTAGAGACAAGGGAGGGGGGAGGGAAAAGGAAGGAGTGGGAGGTAGGGCACATCCTGGCTCTGAGAGTGGGGGAGGACATTATCAGGGTGGCACAGTAGATTGCATGATGGCCCTAGAATCAGGAGCACCTGAATTCAAATCCAGCCTCAGACACTTACTAGCTATGTGACCCTGGGCAAGTCACTTAACCCTGCTTGCTTTAGTTCCTCATCTGTAAAATAAGCTGGAGAAAGAAATGACCTTGGGCAAGTCACTTAACCCTGTTTGATTCAGTTCCTCATCTGTAAAATGAGTTTGAGAAAGAAATGGCAAACCACTCCAGTATCTTTGTCAAGAAAACCCCAAATGGGGTCACTAAGCGTCTGACAGGACTGGACTGAACAACAACATTGATGACTGGTCAGTAGCGTATAGTATTTAGCCTTTCTGGCAGACTCTCCTAGCCCTGATTCTCCATTTCTGGTTCTGGGTTCAGGTCCTTCATCGAGATTTCCAACAACTGCCTGTCCAAGGCCCAGCTGGCTGAGGTGGTAGAGTCCATGTTCCGAGAGTCTGGCTTCCAAGACAAGGAGGAGCTGACCTGGGAGGATTTCCACTTCATGTTAAGGGACCATGACAGTGAGCTCCGTTTCACACAGCTCTGTATTAAAGGTGAGTTTCTGGGATTAGGGAAGACAGAATGAAAGGGAAAGGATTAATTTCAACTGGAAACTGGGATTCTACTTTATCCAACTCTGGGTCCAAGGTCCATTGACTGGCTTGGGGCATGGGAGCAGAGCATGGGGGACAGCGTCTCCTCTCACTGCAACCACACCCCCCAAGCCAGAGGAAACTCGTTATGTGCTCAGGACAAATTCTGCCCCCACCCCATCGCCTCCTCCGGCTTGGCCACTAAGGGTGGAGACTGTGATGGGAAACCACATTTCTGTTGTCCTCCTTGATTATGATGCAAGGTATGCAATGCACGCCTGTCAGAACTTTGGACAGGGGCACTGGGAATAAGGAAGGGTCAGCTGGGTGGTGTCAGGATGGGGGAGGATCTGTGGGCCAGTCTGGATCCAGCCACATGTTGGTGGTTTCTGGACTCAGAATCCCGCTGGAAGCATGTTCAGACCCAACCCAGCCTCTCCCAGGATTATGAGTGTTTGGACAATCTGAACTACAGTGCTGTTGGAGTGAAGGTGAGGGAGGGTCACAGACATGAACAATGGGTGGAGTGAGAACAGGATTATGTGGGAAACCTGGCTCATTAGAAAAAAAAAGTCTTAGACTTGCAGTCAAAAGACCCGAGTTTGAATCCTACAGTTGTCACTCATTAGCTGTGGTACCCTGGCCTTCGGTTTCTTTGTCTGGTTGCTGTTTGTTCTTTTTTCCTGAAGAGGACCATGACCTCAGGGAGGTGATGCCATGACATGCAAGTGAATCGGATTTAAGTGAGGAGGGCTGTGCAAGGTCACCAGCCTCACTTTCTTCTCTGGAGCCATCTGGGTCCAGTGGCCAGATATAGATCAGGACAACTGGCAAAATGGGAAGTTGAACTAGATGATCCAGAGGTCATTTCCTGCTCTAACTCCTATAATTCTGGCGGTGTAGGGACTCTAGTGATCTGAGGGGGCACTGAGAGTTTTTAATACTGCAATTTTGACCTCCATCCTCAAAGACAGAGAGTTGGGCAGCAGGTTGAAGGACACCTAGAATGAATGATTGGGGTCCAGGGGAACATATTGGACCTAGGGGTCACAGGCCTAAACTCCTAGGAGTCTGCTAGAGCAGGGATCAGCTTCTGGGACTGAGAGCAGAACCAGGTATGGGAAAGAAGGGAAGAGGAGAGTTTTCATTTTTATCAGAGAAATCTTCATTGTTAATATTTTAGGCTTAGCTTAGTTTTTTTTTCAGGCTTGTGGGCTTGTATTATACAATATTATATTTTAAACATTAAGAAGTATAAACTGTGTTGTAGAGTACTATGCTTTGTGCTGAGATAAAAGCGTGGTTCCTGCCCTCATGGAACTTACAGTCTAACAATCATACACAAACATAATAAGTACTTTGGAGAGATAAGAAACAGACGACTACTTGAAGTCTGAGAGGGAAAGTCATCATCAAAGGAAGCCTTAATGGAAGAAGTGGCATTTAAGATGTGCTATAAGGGAAAGATAGCAATTCAGCAGATAAAGCAGAAAAGGAAAGAGGTTGTTTGAAGCATAGAGTTCAAGCATCTGGAGCAATGGCAAAACTGGGCTTGTTTAGAGGGACTGAATAGTCTAGTTTAACTGCAGTAGTGTGAGGGAGGGCTGTGCAAAGTCACCAGCCTCACTCTCTCCTCCAGAGCCATCTGGGTCTGGAGTGCATGGAAAGGAGTGGATTGAGACGCCTGGAAACACAAGGAGATATCTGGTTATAGAAAGCATTGAATTCCAGGTTGAAGAGTTCGAATTTTTTTCTGGAGGCAATAGGGAGCCATTGAAGATGTTTGAGCAGAGGAGTGACATGATCAGATTCAGTATCAGAAAGATTGTTTTGTTTACTTTAGAATCTGAGAGTAAAGTCCAGAAATTCACAAAGAGCCTATTTAAGCCTGAACTGAGAGCTTAGGAAGGAAAGTATAGGACACAGGAGAGGAATGTGGAGTCAACCTTACATGTAAGGTGAATAGGTGGCTGCCTGTCCAATGGGGTTTAAAGGATGTCAGTTAGGCTCTGCTGTGCCCCAAATATATCCTCTGTCTGCCTGCCACAGTGTCTGACCTCCCATTAGAGATTCATTTTGAGTCTCTTTCAGTTGGGTCCACTTTTAAAATGTAAACGTACCTGAGAAGAGAATATTTCAGAAAAAAGGAAAAGCGCTCTCACTGCTGAACCTTGGGGAAAAAAGGCTCAGCACCTGAAGATCTGTCCAGGTCAGGGGTTCTTAAACTTTTGTGTGTGTGCCATGGTCCTTTCTGGCAGTCTGGAGAAACCTAAGGAGGCTTTCTCAGAATGATATTTGTTGCCTACATTAATGATTGAAGGTAATGCTACGTTTCAGTTAGAAGTCATTGAATTTAAGATGTCATGTTTTCCCATCCATGTTCACAGCCCCCCCCCCCAAATTCTGCCCCTGGATTCCTTAAGAGTCTACGAACCCCAGGTTAGGAACTCCTCATCTAGGAGGCTACTGTTGCTGACTTAAAGAGCCGCTTGGCTCTCTCTAGTTCGGGGGTGGGGAACCTGCAGCCTTGAGGCCACATGTGGGTCCTCAAAACAGTTGGGATTCAGGCAAAGGGCCACACTTGAGGACCTAGAGGGCTACATGTGGTTCCCCACCCCTGCCTAGTTCTTCTAGGTGTAGACCAGCCACTTCAGTTAAAACCTTTTCCCCTCAAAGAAACTTTATTAGGACAATAAGGAAAAATACAGATAAACAACTATAAAAACATTGTAGTGTGCTATAATTAGTGACAGGTCAGCTCACACAATTTAAAGGAGGAAGGCTACCTCTGTGGCCTAGCAGCATGAACAGTCAGGAGAATTGGGTTCGAATATTGCTGGTGAGACCTGGTCAAGTCAGCTTGACTCTTTATACCTTAGTTTCCTCATCTGTAAAATGGGGGTGATACAGATATGCAAATTACCTACCTAGCTCACAGGAAAGTAGTTTGTAAAAGTTAAGGCACCATGTAGAGTGTCGTAAGCTATTGAAGCTTAAACCTGCACTAAGATTCTTTTGACACCCAGTGAGCTGTTATTTTATAGCAGATTCCTGTCTGAGGACCCTTGGTTGAGAGTGGCCCTTCCCTGTGTAGCCCTAGAGATTCTCCTGTGCTGGCAGATACCCTTGTACCCTTATCCCAGAGATGCCCGTGACTGCTGACCTCAGGAGGCTAGCTCTCAGCCCTGGCTTGTTTCTCTCTGTCTCAGTGGGAGTGAAGCAGATTCCCTGCTTTATTATGAAGGCTACCTGTTTTCTCAGGTGAAGCCAGGTTTCTCCACCTCCCATTTAAATACCATCTCAGTCCAGTCTTCACACATGGCCAATAGTAGCTAAACCTGACTTCCTGTGAGTATGATTTTTTTAGGGTTCTAACTAGTATTCTTGATCCAGTTTTCTCATGTGACCAAAAGTAGCTGCGTCATTATCTGTGGCCTGTCTTAAGTATGCCTGCTCTAGGCTAGGGTATCACCACAAACTGGGTAGCTTTCCCTTTCTGTTTCAAAACTAGTCACCCAATAGGACTCTCCACTAAATTCCAATTTGTCAGATGTTTCCAATTTTCAGCTTATTGGCTGAGCAGCCATGACAGACATGTCTTGAATCTGCCAGCTCCACCCTCTCTCCCATGCTCTCTTTAGATGACTCATTAATCCTTAGGTGTCTACCAAATAGTAGTCTTCCAATCAGTTAATCAATTTATTAAGAGATTCATTGGAATCTCTAGGATAAGTATCTGTAAGGATAGGGCAGGATAGACAGAAAGTCCTGGGGAGAATTTATGTGGCTACCCAGGGACAGGTTACTCTAAGCCAAGGGTCCTCAGACAGAAATTAACAATAAATTTATATATAAATGATTATTATATTATAATGTGATATAATATAATAATATATTATTATATTATATTATATATATGATTTATATAATCGCATTTATACTGGGTATCCCAAGACTGTCAGATACTATGCTGCCTGATAGACAAAAATGAGTCACCATCTTCAAAGAACCTACATTCTCAGAATCTCATCTTAAAAATGTATAATATCACAAATATTATAGATATAGAATGAAATAAGCAATTTCCACCTACAGGAAGAGAAGAGATGTTTCTTCATTAAGAGCTGAGAGTAGCACATTGAGTTCATTCATAGAAAAGTATCAGGGGCTTATCAGTCCGGCAGCTAGCATTTATCAAGCATCTGCTATGCACCAGGCACTGGGCTAAGTGTTGGGAATACAAAGGAAGGCAAAAAACAGTCCCTGCTCTCTGAGGAATTCGACCTAAAGGGAGAGACAAATGTAAACAACTGTGTACAACCAAGATATACATACAGGATAAATTAGGGGTAGTCTCTGTGGGAAGGCGCAGAGATTAAAGAGGACGGGGAAAGCTTTTTGCCTTGAGACTTGAAGAAAGCCAGGGAAGTTAGACGGCAGAAATGAGGAGAAAGTACATTCCAGGCAGGGATGGCGGGGTAAGGATGGCCAGTGAAGATGTTTGGAGTCAAGAAATGAGGAAACTGAGGCCCCAGGGAGTTAAGTGACTTGCCCAAGGTCACCCTGATATCAAGCATCAGAGGTGATATTTGATGCCAATTTTTCTAACTCCAGAGCCATTTCTTCTACCTCGGCCCCATGGGGGAGGGCACACTGTGCTAAAATGGGCCTCACCAGGGCCAGTTCTATGTATATTAGTACTCTGACTATCCCCTATAAGACTACTGAAGAAAGGCCAAGGTTTCCCACTGCCTCCAGGCCATCTCCAGTCATCCTGATCTATGTGTTGCCACTGAACCCAGATGGCTCTGGAGGAGACAATGAGGCTGGTGACTTCACACAGCCCTGCCTCACTCATATTTAATTCACTTGCAAGTCAAGACATCACCTTCCTGATGTCATTGGTCCTCTTTGAGAATGAAGTGCAAACAACAATGTAAGACTGCCATTGGAAAAAGCTCTTCAGGCAATAGGTTCAGAGGGAACCTGGCTAGAGGTCAGAGGCAGATGAATCCATGCTGTCTCTGAGGGCCAAGTGGAGCCCCATGCATCTAGAAGAAGAGGGCCTGGGACCAGTTCTCTCTCTGGAGGTCAGGTGTGTCCTGCTCACTAGCCCTCTTCTGGATTTATAGGTGTGGAAGTTCCTGAAGTCATTAAGCAACTATGCCGGAGAGTCTCCTTTATTAGCCAGGATAAAATATGGTGAGCCCAACCCAGGGATGATAAATGTAATGGGGGGGAATGGAGGGGCTCCCTAGAAGTGAGGGGCTAGGGGCATTGAATGACTCCTTCCCTAGAAGTGAGGGGCTGGGGCATTGAATGACTCCTTCCCTAGAAGTGAGGGGCTGGGGCATTGAATGACTCCTTCCCTAGAAGTGAGGGGCTAGGGGCATTGACTGACTCCTTCCCTAGAAGTGAGGGGCTGGGGCATTGAATGACTCCTTTCCTAGAAGTGAGGGGTTAGGGGCATTGAATGACTCCTTCCCTAGAAGTGAGAGGCTAGGGGCATTGACTGACTCCTTCCCTAGAAGTGAGGGGCTGGGGCATTGAATGACTCCTTCCCTAGAAGTGAGGGGCTGGGGCATTGAATGACTCCTTCCCTAGAAGTGAGGGGCTAGGGGCATTGAATGACTCTTTCCCTAGAAGGGAGGAGCTAGGATTCCCCAAGATCTAACTTCATAATGAGATTATGGCTTTGCTTATGGAAAACATCTACCTTTCCCCACTAGCTGAGTGTATAGCCCTTTCCCCAGCACTCTTAGGTCTGAGGTCAACAAAATAAGAACTAAAAACTCTAGTGTCTAGAGCAAATTCACCTGGGAGAGGGGAGAGAAAGGAAGGCTGAGGTGAAAATGCAGAGGCCTGTATGACCCTAGGTAGAGCTACACAGAAGAAGGGGTTGGGAAGAGGGCTGTCCCTGAGAGAAGGGCACCTCCATAACGAGATCCTGGGAGCTGGTGGGCTGACTTAGGCCCATGAGGTATTCGTACATCGTGGTTACTGTGGGAAGGAAGCTGCCACCAAACCCCGGGAGAAAGAAAGTCCCCCTGAATGTGTGTATCCTGAGGCAGAGCTCTGATAATCCTGCTAATTGTGGCTCTGGGGCTCAGTCATAGAAGCAGCTGAGAATCAAAAGGGCTTTGTTTCTGACCCGGCCACCACTCCTGCCTCCTGTCCCTTTACCCAGAGCTTAGAATCCTGAACAGTTAGGAAGGGTCCCTGGAAATCTGGGCCGTTACTTGGCCTACTCTCTTCCTATTCTGTTCCCTGTTTGAGTCTTCATATGTCTCCTTAGTGATCTAGCTGATGAGACGACCATGCAGAAATTCAAGTGCCCGGCATCTATAGACCCACCGCAGGAGGTCCGAAAGAGGTTTGGCAAAAAGTACGCCCTGTTCCTTCCCCTTAGCCAGACACAGGTGGGTGCAGATAATGACAGTGAGTAAGAACAGAGTCCTGGTAAGAGTTTGGGCAGGAATGAAGAGGAGAGGAAGGGATTGATCAGAGTATGAGTGGGCAGTGTTAGGGGTTGGGTAGGGGTAGTATCTGCAGGACTGAGCATCAGGCTGAAATAAGTGACATAAGAGGCAGTGTGGTATAGTGGATGGGGCACTGGACTTGGAGTCAGGAGATGCAGGTCCAAATCCCACCTCAGCTACTTACTAGCTGTGTGACTCTAGGCAAGTCACTTAACCTCTCTGTTTCTCAGTTTCCTTATCTGCAAAATGAATAGATTGGATTTGATGGCTTCTAAAGCCCCTTCCAGCCCTAAATCTATGTTCCAATGTCTGTCTGGAGGCCTGACCTTTTACAAGTACCCATCCTTTTTACATTTTATTCCCACGACCAGTTTGCAAAACATTTTTTATGTTATTCACCAGTACTTAGGTGAATTTGTGTCCCCTTCTGATGCATTTAGCTGAGAATTGTTTCTACTTTCATTCTCCTGGCCCTTTCTTAGCACCCACTAGCACTGGTATGCTCCCCAGGATCCATTTGGAGGTACCCCAGATGGCCTGAGGGTACCTGGGAGTCAAGGGCTGGGTCTCCCTGTCGTGCAGGCTGACATCGTACCAGCCCCGGCCCTTCACAGAAGCACGCCGAGAGAAGTTGCAGAGAAGTCGTTGGCATCAGACTGTGCAGCAATTTAAGCGGTTCATTGAGAACTACCGCAGGCATATTGCCTGTGCTGCAGTCTTCTATTTCATCGCTGGCGGGCTGTTTCTGGAGAGGGCCTACTGTGAGTGACAGCTCTTGGGGGTGAGGTCTGCTGTGAGCAGAGCAAGGACTAACTATAACTCCACCGAGGGTGGTATGCTTTGGAGGAGACTCCTGCCTTGGGTGTATAGGGAGATGGAGTGATTCACCCCGCTGTTGAGTCGGGCCCTTGCCCCCTGGGGTTGTTGAAGAGGGGGCCATGATGATGGGAGACCCTGTCCTCTGATGGTCATGGGGATGGGGTCTCATCTGAGTGACTCTCAAAGGAGGAAAGGTTTGTTGTGAGCGATGGAACCTGGGGTGAAACAGGCCAAACTGAGGCCTTTCCTGCAACAATGGCTCCGATGAACCTGCCTCCCGCTGCCCCTTCTCTCCCTAGTCTATGCCTTTGCGGCCCACCACATGAGCATCACGGACACCACCCGGGTGGGCATCATCTTGTCCCGAGGCACGGCAGCCAGCATCTCCTTCATGTTCTCTTACATCCTGCTCACCATGTGCCGCAACCTCATCACCTTCCTACGGGAGACTTTCCTTAACCGCTATGTGCCCTTTGATGCTGCGGTGGACTTCCACCGCGTCATTGCTGCCACAGCCATTGTGCTCACAGGTAGGACTCAGGAGGCTCCAGGACCCCAACCCCCCGCTTGGGGGGGCCAGAACCACTCCTCCTACTTATCCTTCCCTCCCCACCCATCTCACTTCCTGAAAGTCATCCTCCCACAGGGCCTTGGCAAAGAGAGGGCCTGGCTGGTGAGTGACAGCCCTGAAAGGGAGGCCCCACCTCCTCCATCTGGCTCCCATGAACCTGACTCCACCCTGAAGATATCCTCCACCTTCCTCTCTAATTCTTCTTTTTTTCTTTTTTTGCAAGGCAATTGGGGTTAACTGACTTGCCCAGGGTCACACAGCTATTTCTCTCATTTTTCACTCTTCTCTCTTTTTTGTTTTTAGGCAATTGGGGTTAAGTGACTTGCCCAGGGTCACACAGGTAGCCAGCGTCCAGTATTTGGTCTGTGACCAGATTTGAACTCAGGTCCTTCTGACTTCAGGGCCGGTGCTCTATCTGCTGTGCCACCTAGCTGCCGCTACTCTTCTCTCTTATAAGACCATAAACGTAGTTGGAAGGGACCCAAGAGGCAATCTAATTCAATCCTCTCATTTTACAGATATGGAGGGGAAATGACTTGTCTAGGGTCATACAGGTTGTAAATGGCAAACCCAGTCCTCTGACTTCATATCCAGGGCCTACTCACTACCCTCTACCCTCTGTTCTCCCTCTTCCTTTTTTCCTGTTTGTCATTCCTTGTTTTCCACCTGGACTGGGCACAAGCTTTTCTATCCATTTAAATCTTGTTTGCTTAGCACTGTGTCTGACAAGTAGTAGGTTCTGAAGAAATGCTTATTTGTGACTTGACTTGATATATGGCGTGATAGTAGAATGAGGCCTGGATTTGGAGTTAGAAGATGTGGGTTTAAATCCTAGCTCTGCTACTTACTACCCATATGACCTTGGCCAAATCACTTCATCCCTCTGGGCCTTGTTTTCCTCATCTGGAAAATGGGGAACTTGGACAAAAAAGATTTATGATCTCTTTTAGCTCTAAATCCTATGCCATGGTCACAAGGGGCGATCAGGGGTCAGGCCTCACCTGGTCAGTTTGGGGCAACAATTAAAGAAAACGTTTATTAAATTCCTACCGTGTGACTGTAGGGGAGGCAGAAAGCATGATGTAGAACATTGGTGTCAAACTCACATAGAAATGGAGGCAACTCGGTTATTCCTCAGGATCCCCATGGACTACACATTAATTTGTTCAGTCGTTTCGGTGGTGTCCAATTCTTGGTGACCACATTTGGTGTTTTCTTGGCAAAGATATTGGAGTGGTTGGCCATTTCTTTCTCCAGCTCATTTGACAGATGAGGAAACTGAGGCAGATAGGGTAAAGTGACTTGCCCAGGGTCACACATCTAGTAAGTGTCTGAGGCTGGATTTGAACTCAAGAAGATGAGTCTTTCTGACATCAGGCCTGGCACAATCCACTATCCCCCCTAGCTCATAGTAAGCACTATATAAATGTTAGCTATTATTGCCATTTATTCTTATTATTGGTGCTGCTGTTATTATTCTTTACTATTCTCAAAGGCCATGCCAGTGAAACACAAGCTCAGGCTGTTCCTGCCAAGCTGGGGAAATACCAGATGGTGATGAGTTGTGTGTCTGTCATCCAAGGACCAGTCTAGCTAAATTCATTGCTATTTTGGCTGGAAGGGAATGCATTTTAAGAAGGGCAGGCAGCACAGTGGAAAGAATACTGACTGCAGTCAGACAACCAGAGTTCAAATACTGCTTTGGATATGACTTTGGGCAAATCCCTTCCTCTCTCTAGGCCAAATTTCTTTGTCTGTAAAGGGTTGGGACTAGTCGGCCTCTCAGCTCTAGATTATTTCTGAGCCTTTAAAGCTCCATGAGAACTCTCTCCTGAAGTTGTCAGTGAGTTGTGCTTTACCTTGGCGGGGGGGGGGTAGTTCCCACGTGAGAAAATTTCTGGTCCTGGAAATATTGAAACAAAAGCCTTGGAGAGATAGAAACAGAGGAGTCAGATGAGGCATAGTGAGGGAAGAATCAGTTCTGATTGGAGAGATCAGAGGATCCTCCTCCCAGAAGAGGTGGCCTCGGAATTGGGCTTTAAAGATGGATAGAAATTCAACAAAATTTGTGAAGAAAATGGCATCAGGGTTCTGTCCTTTCTCTTCCTTTTATATATATGCCTTGTTTTTTCTTCACCTCCCCTAACTCAAACTCCCTCCCTCAGCTTGCCCAGTGTCAGTGGGGAGAGGGAGAGCTTTGCCTTAGTGGTAATAAGGTGCTAAGCTTGGTATAAATGAGTTTAGTGTAATATCCCTTTCCAGGTGGATTTGAGCTTCTAAAGAGTGCTATGACATATATAACGTATATCTGATTGCTTACCATCTGGGGAGGGGGAGTGGAAGGGACGATGGAGAGGGATAGAATTTGGAACTCAAAACTTTTTTTAAAAAGTTTAAAAATTTGTTTTAACACGTAATTGGGGGGAAATAAATATACATTTTTAAAAGACTGAAAACAACCAAAAGAACAAGAAAGTCAATTAATTGAAGCCAAAAGTGCTTTCATTTTCATCTTTGTATCTCCAGTGCCTAGCACATTGTCTATTAAACAGCACTTAATAAATGCCTGTGGAATGGGAAAAAAAGTGTTATGAACCCAAAGAAATGCATCTCTAATGGTGGAATTTCAGTTTCTGTACCCGTAAGTGGGAGAAGGAGAACTGAAGAACTCTCCTTGTCTCCCTTAATCAGGAGCCAGAGGATCAGGTCCTCATAATGCTTACTCAAGCCCTCTGTCACTTTGGACTGGGTTCCTTTCCCCTGGGCTAGAGGAGGGACTGGTTTGGATACTGCATGACCCTCCCAGCTCTCTCCTTAGCTGTTTTTCTCTTCCCCAGTCCTGCACAGTATGGGCCACGTGGTCAACGTCTACTTGTTCTCCATCAGCCCACTCAGTGTCCTGTCTTGTCTCTTCCCTGGCTTCTTCCAGGATGATGGGTGAGTGCAGGCTCCTTCTTTGGTTATAAAAAGGGGGTAAGCCTTCAGGGTACAGAAAGGCTTAGGGCAGGCTTCTGATTTGGGGGAAGGGATGAAGGTTTGAGTTAGCTCTGCTGGATCCTGTCTGCTTCTGCATGCTGCAGAGGGCTGGAGAGGGGCCAGGGCAGGGGGGCAGAGATGGGAGACATTTCAGACTGGAGGTTGGGAGGATTAGTGAATTCTTGCCTACTCAGTAACCTTTTCTTGCCTGACAGGTCTGAATTGCCTCAGAAATTCTATTGGTGGTTCTTCCAGACAGTCCCAGGTGAGAACTTTACCTTCATGACATGACTATCCCTAATGCTATAGGCCTGGGCCCTAGGTTCTATCTCTAGATTCTGAGTTCTAGGTTCAAGATTCTAGACTGTCAGTCCTGGAGTCAGGAGGACCTGTGTTCAAATCAGACCTCAGACCCTTACTAGCTATGTGACTCTGGGCAAGTCACTTAACCTTGATTACCTGAGAGAGAAAGAAAGATTGAGAGAGAGAGAGAGAGAGAGAGAGAGAGAGAGAGAGAGAGAGAGAGAGAGAGAGAGAGAGAGAGAGATTTGGGGCCTGCATACTGAGTTCCAAATTCCAGGATCTGGATTCTAAACTCTGGATTATGAGTTAGGAAATTGGGGTTCTGAGCTCTAGGCTCTGTACTTTGAGTTCCAGTGCATGTTGTCTCCTTGTTGGACTATGAGTTCCTTGAAATGAGAGATTGTTTTTTGCTTTTTTTTTTTGTAACCTTAACACTTAGCACAGTGACTGGCACTTAGTAAGCATTTAATAAATGGTTTCTCATTCATTCATTCATTCATTTATTCATTCATTTTCTGCACTAAAACTATTTTCTTCAAACTCTAATGTGTGCTTCCTAATTTAATTCAACGACTATTTATGAGCTTCTACTGTGTGCAAGCTGAAGCCATATGGCATAATACCAGACTTGGAATCAAAAAAATACCTGGATTCTTGCCATTGACACTATGATCACATTGGCTGGGATAGACTAGGCAAATCGCTTTAAGTTCTCAGTGCCCTCAGGAAACTCTTGAAGATGATAAGTTGCAAAAGAGTTGCTGATTGGCATTGGTTGAGGAAAGTTCTTCCCAGGGAACTCCTTATATTAAAGTCATAGTTCTGGACCAAATGTACCAGGCACAGGACACTTGCATACTCAGGAGACAAAGATGAAAAACAAAGTAATCCCTGCCCACAGAGAGCTTCCATTCTACATCCTCATTTCAGTAGTCTAGGATTTATAGGATAAATCTGTGTACCCTTTCTCCAAGTCATCATGATTTTATAGGCTTTAAACCTTCTCTGACTTTGCCTTTCCAACATAAGGACTCATTCTCTCTTTAGCTTGTCCCTTACCTCTAGTTTCTTAGTCATTTAAAGCACTTTTCCCAGAACCTTTTCTATGTCTGTTAGGTTTTTCGTGAGTTGTGGTCACCAGAAGACCCTGAAGTAATTAAAGTGTAGGGAGAAGTGAAGCTAACCCAACATGTTACCTTACATTTTTTTTTTGGGGGGGGAGGGTAGAAACCAGACCTGTGATTGCTTTTATATAGTGAGTTCCCAGTAAGGAAACTCTCTTTACCAAAGAATATAGACTTTCTTCAACTTATCATCTTAAGAGAGTTGCCAGGGGCATGAAGAATCTCACAGTTTGACTTGCCCAATGTCTTACGGCCATTGAGAGGCTGGTCTCAAAACTAGGTCTTCTTGTCTCAAAGAGCAGTTCTTTTAACTACTTTATTACATCATGTCTTAATACTTCACATTTGTATAGGACTTTGATTTGGGGTTTATAGGATCTGGGCTCTGGACTCTGAGTCCTCACATGCTAGAGTCTGGCACCCAAGATCCAGAGCCCAGATCCAAGCCATCCCAAATAAGAAGATGGGTCTCTCACGTTGGAAAGTGCTGTTGTATATCTGGTACTTGGAAGTTGAGGTGACAGATTGAGGACAGTGACAGTAACAGGGCTGGTGACCATTGACTAAGGACAGTGATAGCTTTGGTGACATGGGTCGCTGTGACAATAAGAAGGTTTAACAGTTACAGGAAGAGTGATATTGACATGGCAGCTCTGCTGAAAATGAGGAAGAAAGCAGAATCTTGGGAGAGAGGGACTGGGCTGCTACTGTTGCCCCAGGGCATGGAGTGGGGAGGGGAGGGGACACCCTGTTTATGCTTTTTTACCTGCTCCCCTTCATGTATGTTTTCTGTTCTTTTCCCCTTATTCCTGCTCTTTAGGCCTAACAGGAGTTGTGCTGCTCATGGTCCTGTCCATCATGTATGTCTTTGCTTCCCACTACTTCCGCCGGCGCAGCTTCCGAAGCTTCTGGCTCACCCACCACCTCTACATTTTGCTATATATCCTGGTAAGAGGGGGGCTTACTTTTGGTGGGAGCTAGCAGGAACCCCAAGGTGTAACAAAGGGAAGGTGCAACAATTCATTGATCACTTCAGTGTTCTCTAATTTCTCCCTTCGTTATTGTCCAGACCTAGATTTATGCATTTTTAAATTAATTTTATTTTTAGTTAACAAGTATGTATTTTCTCTCCTTCCCATACCCTTCCCAAGTTAAAAGAAAAACCAAACCCTTATAATAGTACACATAATCAAAGCAAAATAAAATGCCACACTGTCCAGTTCCAAAATATTTGTCTCATTCTGCATCCATTACCTCTCTATCAGAAGATGTATAACATGCTTTCTCACTGATCTTCCGAAACTGTGGCTGGTCATCATTGTGATGATTAGAATTCTTAAGTCTTTCAGACTGTTTACAATGTTGTTATTTTATAAATTGTTCTCATGGTTCTGTTCACTTCACTCTGCAGCACTCCTTATAAGTCTTCTCAGATTTCTCTGAATTCATTCCTTTCTTCATTTCAAGTTAAGTGACTTGCCCAGGGGCACACAGCTAATAAATGTCAAGTGTCTGAGGCCAGATTTGAACTCAGGTCCTCCTGACTCCAAGGCCGGAGCTCTATCCACTGTGCAACCTAGCTGCCCCCTTCATTTCTTATAGCAGAAAAGTATTCCATTGCATTCATATACCATGATACTTTTAGCCGTTTCCCAACAAATGGGCTTCCCCTTAGCTTTTGGTTCTTTACTGCTACAAAAACAGCTGCTATAAGTATTTTTGTACATATGGCAGACCTGTAATTTATCCAGGTTCATATAGCCTGCATGTGTCAAGGATAGGATTTGAATGTAAGTTATCCAGCTCCCTATGTATTAAGCCACGTTGCTTCTCAGTTTTTCTGCATTCTTTTTAAAACAAAACTTGGGGGCAGCTAAGTGGTGCAGTGGATAGAGCACCAGCCCTGAAGTCAGGAGGACTTGAGTTCAAATACAGCCTCAGACCAGACACTTAGTAGCTATGTGACCCTAAGCAAGTCACTTAACCCCAATTGCCTTGAGAAGAAAAAAAAAACTTGACTATTTAGTAGTCTGATCCCAAAGAGAAAGACTTTTCTGACCAACTAAAAATCTAAACAACAGCACTGTCCTGCAAGCCTACCTTTAGCTTGGGGTCCTGTAATAACCATGTATAATTTTCTTCCCCACATCAGTCTTTCCTCATCTTAGGTGGTTGGTTTTGGCTTCCTGTGTGATCTGCCTTGCATGTGTTCCTTACTGGAACATCAGGAACGTCCTCCTATTTTGGACTAACATTTTTAAAAATGTGCCAAGGTCACATTGTTGTTTCCATTTCTGACTCTCAGGGTGTTAATAACCCCACCCATCTAAGTATTATGAACTTGTAAAGTCGATGAGCTTGCTCAGAATTCCATTGCACAGATTGCCAATGAAAACATCTTCTAACTCCAACCTGTCCCTTAACCTCTCCTTCCCAGAAACCCTGTCCCCATACTTTCCTTCTCATTCATTCTTCTCTTCATTTTCTATTCTCTTCTCCCCTCCATTTTCCTTTTCTTTCCTTCTTCCTCTTCCCTTCCTTTCTCTTCTCTATTATCCTCCCTGCCCTATATTCTCCTCTCCTTCCTTTCCCTCTATTCCCTTCTGTTATCATCCGTTCTCTTCTCGTCCTTGTTTCTCATCTTCCCTTCCTTTCTCCTCTTTCCCATTTGCCTTTTCTTTCTTCCAGTTTCCCCTCATCCTGTTTCCTGTCTTCCATTTTCCTCTTCTCCATTTTCTTTTCCTCTCCTCCCCTCCATCTTTCTTCATTTCTCTTTTTCCTTTTTCCTCCATTCATTTCTCCTCCTCTTCATTCTCCTCTCTTCTTCTCTTATCCTTCCCCTTCTTATTCTCCCCTCCTCTTCTTTTTTCCTTTCTTCTTCCCTTCCCCATTCTTTTCTTAAAGAAGAGGAGAGGAGTCAGGTTGTTTAGCTATTTAGTTTCTGAACTGATTTTCATTGTGTCTCCAGTGTTTTTGTTCATGGATCTGAGTCCTTCTATTCTGCTCTTCTCCTAAAAGTGGCCCCCTGAAGTATAGTTCTTAATTAGAAAATATATTAAATTTTTAGGCCCTTGTAACTCTTCCCACCCCCACCCCCCCGCCTCCACTCCCCAAAGCCTAGTCATTAGCATCAGAGAATTCTAGACCCTCTTAGGGTTGTTCTATCTCCAACTATGAAAATCAAAGTTACATTAGGTATAGTTTCCATGAATATGGAATAAAAGGTCCTGTTGTATTCTGCCCAGTCAGACCACATATGGAGTATTGTGTTTGGTTCTGGGAGCCACATTTTAGGAAGGACATTGCCAAGCGAAGAAGGGATCCAGATAGAGAAACACCTCGAGGCTACCCCATTTGAGGGTCAGTGGAAAGAACTGGGGAGAAGTTAGCTTAGAGCTAAAGTTAAAGGACTTAGCTTGGACAAAAAGGGACTTAAGGAAGTATAGGCCAGTTATCTTCAAGCTGTCTTACAAAACAATTAGGCTTGTTTTTCTTGGCCTAAGAGGGCAGAACCATGATCATTAAGTGGAAATAATAAAGAGGCAGTTTTAGGCTTGATATATGGAAATGTTTCCCATTAATTAAATTGATCCACGAGTGGAAAGGGCTTCTTCAGTGGTTCCCTCTCAGTAGAGATGTCCAAGAAGGCTGGATGACCACCTCTCAGGCATGCTCTATAGAAGAGATTCTTGCTCAAGTATGGGTTGGAATTGATGGTCTCTGAGCAACCTTTCATCTATAACACTCTGGCTCTGTAAAGTAGGTTTCAGTTTCCCCTAACGTGGAAAGGAAGTTCTTCATTTTCTCTGCTTTCTTCCTGATGGAGTTGAATCCAAACCCTAGGCCCTACCATCTTATCCTTAGTGTCAATGAGTCTTACTCTTCCCTATTAGTCCTTCACAAGATATTATTAGTCAGTCCCTGTTTAGTCTGCTCCTTTTCAGAATCAGTGACCTCGGCTTTTTGTAAATATCCTGGTTCCATAATCTTCTCCTCCAAAGGAATTGTGTCTAATACCTTCATCCCTGCCTTCTCAGCAATGGGTAGAACCCTGGCCTCTTTCCAGCTATGTCTCTGCAAGGAGTGCGAGGTGATTTTCTAAGTTCTTTAGACTAGATCAGTAGCTGTGATGTGTACAGGACACCCAAAAGAGTGTGCGATATTGGGTACTACCTGACCCAGTATCTCAAGGTAAAAAAGCTAACTGCTTGGGAATTAAGATCCTTCTCTTCTGATTTAACTCTGGGTTATGGGGCTCCTGGAGAAGGAGTCATCTCTTTTGCTTGGTCTAGGGAGGCAGAGGTCCAAAGAGGTTCCAGGACACTCTACTAGACAATTCTAGGCTCAACTGCTCTGGAATCCTCCTGCTAATCCTTTCCATTCCTCACTGCAGGATAACTAAGATGAGAGGTTCTCCCACTAAGCTCGGATATAGCTCCTGGGTTTGGGGATCTCTTGGGTATTCAGTAGCAATGTCAAGGTGACAATTAAGGGATTTAGGTACAGAGGAAGAGACCTGGGGACTTGGCATGGACCAGAAAACCTCACTGTAAGGAGACAGTGAAGATTAAGAGTTAATAGGGAAGTAAATGATTTGGGTGTCATTGTGAAACCCCAAGTTGATGATGAATCTCCAACAGAGCCCTGTGGTTAAAAAAAGTCATTAGGAGATTGGGTACATAAATGGGCCTATAAAGTCAGCCTCTCACTGTATTCAGTAGTGATCAATTGCTTTATGAAAGAGGTGTATGGGGAAAATGGAGAGAGTTCACAGAGCTTTGGAGAGATTTTAAATTAGTTCTATGAGGACATGTTAAGAGATCTGGGAATAATTTGAAGAAAGGAAGGATGAAAGGTGGTGGTAAAGGAGGACCCTTCAATTCAGTTTCATTGAGTATGTATTGAGTGCTTATTCAATATAGCACCTAGCACAGTTCTAGACAAAGAAGTAACGATTAACAGGGCCCGATGCTATAGAAAGGTCCAAGTCGATAAGATTGGGAAGGGAAAGGTCATTGGATTTGGTAATCAGAGAAGGTCATGGATGGCCTTTGAGAGACCAGAACAGAATAGAATGGGCAAGCTAGAGCACAAAGTGTTAAAGAGAGAAAGGAGTGACGGGAAAATTATTGTCTGTCTTTTGTTCGCAAAGAGTACCATGACCTCATGGAGGTGATACTATGACTTGCAAGTGAATTGGATTTAAGTGAGGGAAGGCTACACAAAGTCACCAGCGTCACTTTCTCCTCTGGAGCCATCTAGGTCCAGTGGCCAGATACATATCAGGACAACTGGAGATGGGAAAACAGAAACTTGTGGTAGAGATGATTGGCTTGAACAGCTTGATGATGAAAGACAATAGGAATTAGATGGAATCTCGAGGAGACAATATCAGGGCCTCCAGATGAATGCTCAAGCAGTCAATACATGTAGGATGGTTACCAAGAAGATTGTAGAAGGGATTCCTTGAATGGAGGAGGAGTCAAGATGACTGGATTAAGTGGCTTTTCAAGTTCTTTTCACTAAGATCCCAAGTTGCTTTATGGGAAATGGTGAAGAGTTGTTTTCAATTTTCTAAAAGGAAGAGGAGGTTGTAAAATTTCCTTCATTGCAGTCATTAAAAATTATCTCATTCATCTCAGTTGGCTTAGGAAGTCAGGGATTTCTTCTACAACCTCTCTGTTAGCATGATCGTACGTCCTCTGCTAGGTTTTGACCTCAGGGTCCTATAATCACTAAATGTGATTTATTCAGACTCTCTGAGAAGTAGGGCAGGTACCTAGTATTTGAGATGGGGTCTGGCACTCAGGTAGATGGGAGCAGGGGTTTGGTGCTGAGGGTCTCTCATCTTGACCTCGGTGGTGAATGGGGAGGGGTATGCCTCGAAGTGTGCTGTACTAACTAATTGTGTCTTTTTCAGCTCATTATTCATGGCAGCTTTGCCCTCATTCAGCTGCCTCGATTCCATATATTCTTCCTGGTCCCAGCTCTTATCTATGGTGGGGACAAACTGGTGAGCCTGAGCCGGAAGAAGGTGGAAATCAGTGTGGTGAAGGCTGAGCTCCTGCCCTCAGGTATAGCCTGAAAGGGAGGGAATGGTAATTATATCATCAGGTTCAAGGCAGATTAGGCCCAGATACTAAGGTGTCTGGGTCACCTGGTCAATCTGGTCAACCTCACCATGGACTCCTTTGACTCTGTTCAGGAGCTGAGAATCTACAAGCCCCACAAAATGTGGGCAGGGGAGTATCCTTGTCTAAGATTTCCTGACAAGTCCCAAGCCAAGGGCCTAGGGATAACCTAGAAGGGAATTACCTTCATGAAAGTGATGGATGATTCCAAGGTCCCTGGCTCAATGAGCCTTTCCTAAATTGTATGTACTGCATCCCTAATGGACTAGGGGTCCTGAATTGTTTGTTTATGCTTGTGTCACGGACCCCTTTGGCAGTCTAGTGAAGCCTATGTACCCTTTCTCAGAATAATATCTGTAAATGTATAAAACAAAATGCGTAAGATTGGAAAGGAAACCAATTATATTGAAATAGTTATAAAAAGTTTTCAAACCAAATTCACAGACTCCTGATTGAGCTTTTATAACAGTGAGAGTGTTACATACCCAGTGCCCACTGCTAGATACCCTTTTCTAAAGATACACAGTTATAGGGTCAAAAATTTAGAACTGGAAGGGACCTTAGAGGTCTTTGAGTCTAACCCCTTCAGTTTTTCAGATGAGGAAACTGAGGTCCCAGAGAAGTTAAGTGTCTTGCCCAGGGTCACACAGCTAGTAAATGTCTGAGGCCAGTTTCAAACCCTGGTCTTCCTGACTCTGAGTCCAGCATCCTACCCATCCCACTATGCTGCCTTTCAGAGGAGGGACATATAGCTAAAAGTGGGAGGAGCAGAACATTTATAGTATCTTCAGACTTTGGTTCTGGGCCTTTCCTACCCTGTTCATCATTGTGGTATACTGGAGTGCTCATTGGTGTCCATGATGTTGAGGGGTTGAGGCTCATGCTGTTTCAGAGCCCAGGTACACATTAAGACAAAATTGTAGGAGCAAGTGATGATGGTTGAGTACGGGATCCCAGACCCAAAAGCTAGAAAGAGCTAGTTCAGCTCTTTCATTTTATAAACGAGGAAACTGAGGCCCAGGTCAGTTAAATGACTTGGCCAAGGTTGCACAGAAAGAAAGCAGCAGAGACGGACTTATTTGCTCTACACGCACTTTGTCTACTCATAGTGACCTCCAGTCTAGAGTTCCCTATCTGAGAGGTAGAAGCTCAGTTTGCCTCTCACTTTCAACATACTCTTTTCTCACTACCACAGAGTTCTATTTAAGATACATATCTCCATACCCAATCAATCAAAAAAATTTATTACGCCCCACTTTCTGCCAAGCATCCATTTCTGACCCTCCTAAATACCATGATAGAAATGCTGGGGCAATCAGCATCCAGCCTTTTGGGGCATCCTTGGCATGGCAAGAATGTCCCAGGGGAATCCCTTAGGTGTGACACAAGGGCCTGCCTATGTCCTCTTCTGCCCTTACAACCCACAGCGTCTAAGATCATGACAAAAAGGGTGGGGGGGGGATGAGAAACAGAGCTCAGGGGAACCCAATGAGAAATTCTGGTCATAGTTCATTCTGTAAAGAGGCATCATTGGGGTCTCCCACACTCTGGTTTCTGGCCACCCTCAATTTGTCAGATCCAGATGATACTATCCAATTCCCCACCCCCACTCCCATCCCCAGGGAGGGAATGGAACATGGGGAGTGGAGGCAGGTAATGTGGGCCCAGCAGGTAGAGCAGGATCAGGACCGCAGATGGTGGCTTCCTGGGATCTGTAGGTGTAATCATGTCTGGCACTCCCTTTGCTGTCTCCTTTGTCCCCAGGTGTGACTTACCTCCGATTCCAGAGGCCCCAGGGCTTTGAGTATAAGTCAGGGCAGTGGGTACGTATAGCCTGCCTGGCCCTGGGGACCACAGAATACCATCCGTTCACTCTCACCTCTGCACCCCATGAAGACACGCTCAGCCTTCACATCAGAGCTGTGGGACCCTGGACTACGCGACTCAGAGAGATCTACTCACCCCCACCAGGCGCTAGCAGCATCAAATACCCTAAGGTACCTTCCATATACCCCAGAATCTCTTCCTTGGCCCTGAAACAGATTTCCCAAAGTATCCCTCCAAACTCTATCCAAAGTGAATAATCCCAGAAACCCTAAGAATCCCCCTCAAACACTGTGTACTTAACCCAGTGGGGGACTTTATTATCCCTTACTGATAATGCCCTCATCTATGATGCCAGGACAAGGTTGGGTGGTCAGACTGCCCTGTTTCTTACCCCTCTCTTCCCTTATGACAGTTATACCTGGATGGGCCATTTGGAGAGGGTCACCAAGAGTGGCACAAGTTTGAGGTGTCTGTGCTGGTAGGTGGGGGCATTGGGGTCACCCCCTTTGCCTCTATCCTCAAAGACCTGGTCTTCAAGTCATCAGTAAGCTGCCAACTGCTCTGTAAAAAGGTAAAACTCCTCTCCCAGGCCTCAACTCTGAGGGGAAAAAAACGGTGACAGTAGCAAATCCCTCCTCATGCCCCTTTGTCACCCCAAATCACAGCTATGAGGGAAAACATCCTGTCTCAATACTCTATTTGCTACACTACCTAGCTGAGTTGGGAAGCATGGTGTCCAAAATAAGAGAAGAAATGGTTATATTCTATTCTGCCCCAATAGAGTCAAATCAACAAACATTTATTAAACCACTACAGTATGCTAGGCACTGTATTCTGTGCTAGGGATGCAAAGAAAGGCAAAAACCAGACTGTGCTCTCAAGGCCCTCACATTAATAGTAGCTAGCATTTATATAACTTTTTAAGGTTTGCAAAGTACTTTGTATATATTAACCCATTTGATTCTTGCAATAACCCTATGAGGTAAGTACTATTATTACCCCCATTTTACAGATAATGAAACTGAGGCAGACAGAAGTTAAGAGACTTGTCCAAGGTCACACAGCTAGTAAGTGTCTGAGGCAGGATTAGATCTGAGATCTTCCTGAATCTAAAGCCCACATTTTATTCGATATGGGATCAGGCCACATCTAAAGTTGTTATTGTTCAGTCACATCCAACTCTTTGTGATCCCATGGACCATACTGTCCATGGGGTTTTCTTGGCAAAGATACTGGAGTGGTTAGCCCTTTCCTTCTCCAGCTCATTTTACAGATGAGGAAACTGAGGCAAACAGGGTTAGGTGACTTGCCCAGGATAACACAGCTAGGAAGTGTCTGAAGCCAGATTTGAACTCGGGAACATAAGCCTTCTATCCACTACACCACCTAGCTGCCCAAGGACATGAGAGCTGCCTTTATGTATAGGAAGGGCTATTATTGGGATATACTTGTCCTTCTTGGTTCCTGAAGACAGAACTAGGAACTATAAAGAGTCCTGAGCTTGATGTAAGGAAAAATTTCCTACCAATTAGAGCAGTCCCAATATAGATCAGACTGCCTTAGGAACAACCCACTTGCCGAACGGACAAGTCCCCTCTGAGGACTCTTCCAGCTCTGAGGTTCTGTGATTTCACCTACAGGGCCTGGGGCCTGGGCTCTTCTAAGAGCCCTGGCAAGATTTGTCTCTGAGATTCTCTCCAGGCAGGGGTTGGATTGGATGGGGAGGGTAGATCCCCCTTACAGAGTAGACACCTGGGGCACTGTCAGGCCCTGGCCTTGGGGAGAGGTGGCAGAGGTGGGGCAGAGTGAAACCATCTCTCTTTTTTTTTTGCAGGGGGGGGCGGAATTGGCGAGGAGTAGAAGCAGGGAGCCCAGGGAGGCTGGGCAAGATTCTTGAGGAATTTGAAGAGGGAGTGGAGGGCACAGTGCTAGGTACATTCAGTCAGCCTAGGCTGCTTGGCCTCCATTTGTACAAGAGCCCCAGCTTCCCCTGTGCCCCAGCCTAGGCCTGAGTCAGTAGGGTGAGTCACTGGGGCAGGAATGTGTCCAGTAGAGGCACAGCCCATTACCCAGGCAGCAGTCTGAGGATGACAGAGAACCGGCTGTGAGCTGTCTTCCTCTGCTAAACCATTTCCCTTCTCTCCTGCTCTCCAATAACCGCCCCTCCTCAGCATCAAAAAGTCAGGTACCAGTTCATCTGTGGGGCCTGCTGTTTCCTTCTTTTGAGGGGCCCTACACTGAGCAAGAACCATATATGGAAGCCTCCCACCTACAGCATAGTTTTGGGGGAATTTGAACCTGTGCTTCCTGGACAGTGAGGTCCATGCACACAAGCGAACCACTTTAGATAAGGCCTGAACCAATGTCAAATAGAGTGTGGGCTTTAGATTCAGGAAGGCCTGAGAACTAATCCTACTTTTGCTCCCTGCCATCTTTGAGGGTAGTCATAGCCCATATCCCTGTCCCCTATAGACACAGGTCTAGAGCATTTCTTCAGGATACTTAAGACATTGTCTCCCTTAAGACATTAGCTCCTCTAGACCAGTAGCCAGGGGCCTGGACATGTTTCAGTGGACTAAGGGGAGGGCTCAACAGCCAGCTCCACAGGCCCATGAGGACCTAGACAAGGAGTGGGGAACCTGTGGCCTTGAGGCCAATGTAGCCCTCTAGGTCCTCAAGTGCGGCCCTTTGAATCCAAACTTCACAGAACAAATCCCCTCAATAAAAGGATTTGTTCTGTAAAACTTGGACTCAGTCAAAGGGCCACACTTGAGGACCCAGAGGGCTACATGGGGCCTCAAGGCTGCAGGTTCCCCACCTCTATACTATCCCTCTGAGGAAAACCCATTCCCCCTTTCCCAAAAGGGGTATTTAATTCTTTTTGTGTCTTGGACCCCTCTGGCAGTCTGGTGAAGTCTATGGACCTCTGCTCAAAATAATATTTTAAGGGCAGCTAGGTGGTGCAGTGGATAGAGCACTGGCCCTGGAGTCAGGAGGACCTGAGTTCAAATCTGGCCTCAGACACATAACACTTACTATCTTGTGTGACTCCAGGCAAGTCATTTAACCCCAATGACCTCGCCAAAAAAAAAAGTATATATATATATATATATATGTAATGTATAAAAGTCAAAATAATATTTTAAATATATAAGATAAAATGAATAGAATTCTTTATATTTATACTCAATGATATTGCAATATTGTTAAAAAATATATTTTTTAAAACAAGTTTCACATATTTCAGGTTAAAAATCCCTGGGCTAGAAATATCAGATATTAAAAGCACTCCCTACCAAGGGCCTTACATTCCCCATATCTCAGAATTCCCCCATCACACCCTGTGGTAGATGCTCCAAAGACTCCTTAACCCTCCATCCCCGGGCTAACATCTTCAGATACCTGATAAAATCTGCCTCGTGTCCCCCTCCTCCACAGACTGAGTCTGCATGTGAGGGGCTTCGGCCCTCCCATCAGAGGCCAGGATCCTTCTTGAGCTCCTTTCCTTCTCCCACGCTGTCTGTGTCCTCAGTTTCTGGCTGCAGCTGCATCCTTTGACCAGGAGCTCCTCTAATCTTGTCCCTCTCCTGGAGCAATATCTGTCGTGATGAGGTGGAGGGGGATCCCTGGGGTGTGGGTGTGGGGAGACACCCTTCAAGGCTTGATGTCTCATGAGAGTGAAGACTGATTGGGGGCTGGTGTCCCTAGATCTACTTCATCTGGGTGACGAGGACCCAAAAGCAGTTTGAGTGGCTGGCAGACATCATCCGGGAGGTGGAGGAGAATGACCGGCAGGACCTGGTGTCTGTGCACATCTACATCACCCAGCTGGCTGAGAAGTTTGACCTTCGGACCACCATGTTGGTAAGAACTAACTGGGATCTCAGAGAGGAGGTCATATCTGGTTGGCCTTGGCCCTGCTCTCACTCCTAGTTCCAGTTATCTCCCCTCTCCCAGTCTATTGGGCTCTCTACACCATCCCTGGCCCCGTTTTTACAGGCATCTTGTAGTGGGCCTAGAGTCCTGAGTTCAAATTCAGCTTTAGACACTTACAAGCTGTGTGACCCTGGGCAAGTCACTAAACTTCTGTTTGCCTGAGTTTCCTCATCCGTAAAATGGTGAGAATAATCCCCATCACCTACGTCACAAGGTTGTTGTGATAATTAATTGAGATAATATTTGAAAAGTGCTTAGGCCAGTGCCTGGCACATAGTAGGCACGTAATAAATCCTCCTTTCCTTCCTCCTTCCCTCCCTTTCTTCCTTCTCTTTCCTCCTTCCCTCTCTCCGTCCTTCCTTTCTTCTCCCTTCCTTCCTTTCTTCTCTTAGTACATCTGTGAGCGGCACTTCCAGAAGGTGCTGAACCGGAGCCTCTTCACGGGCCTGCGCTCCATCACCCACTTTGGTCGTCCCCCCTTTGGCCCCTTCTTCAGCTCCCTGCAGGAAGTCCACCCACATGTAAGTACCTAGACCTTAATCCTCTCAGGGTCCTAAGGAAAATTCCCTTGACTTCTCCAACAGACAGAATCTACTGCCACTGAGGCCCTGGGTTCCAGGAGGTGGGGAAGCGAATGCAGAGGGAAATTGTGTACCATTTGGGGGGACAGAGTAGGAGGCCACGTAGGCTGCCTTGCCCATGAGGAAAATGCCCTGCAGGGAGAGGCCATATAGTATAATGGGTACAGATAGGGATTGGACCTGTGATTTCATTGGTACTGGGAACTCCCATGTGAGGAGTGAGGTCCTTTACCAGGGAGGTCAGTGCCTTCTCTGCAACTTCTAATTATAGAGAATTGTCTACAGCAGTGGTGTCAGGCTCAAGTAGAAAGGGCCACTAATCTGCATGCAAGGATCCTTATGGCCACATATTGACTTAGTTTTAAAATATAATGTTATCTCTGTTATAATTTTATTTTGTTAGATATTTCCCAATATTTCTCAATTACATTTTAATCAAGTTCAGTATACCCTTGGAGAGTGTGGAGGGACACCTTTGAGTGATTTGCCCAGATTAACACAGCCAGTATATATCCTATGCCAGACCTGGACCCAATTTTCCTGGCTCTGAGGCCAGCCCTATTCCCTTTGTAGTAAAATGTCTTTCATAGAACATGACATGCTGGATTCGAATCAGGAAGACCTACTTTCAAAGTCCTATCTCTGACATTTGGTAACTATGTGACCCTGGGCAAGTCATGGCAATTTTCTGATCCTTTTTCTTCTTCCTCCTTTTTTTTTTTTTGGAGGCAATCAAGGTTAAGTGACTTGTCGCCAGGGTCACACTGCTAGTAAGAGTCTCAGGCTGGATTTGAATTCATGTCATCCTGACGCCAGCACCCATGTTCTATTTACTACACCACCTAGCTGCCCTCCTCCACCTTCAAACATTTGTGTACTTGGCAGCTAGGTGGCTCAGTAGATAGAGTGTGAGGCTTGGAGTTAGGAAGACCTGAATTCACATCAGGTTTCAGACACTTACTAGCTATGTGACCCTGGGCAAGTCACTTAATCTTTGCTTTAATCCACTGGAGAAGAAAACGAGAAACTACTCCAGTATCTTTGCCAAGAAAACCCTTGGACTGACATGTTGGCATGATATGGTCCACAGGGTCACGAAGAGTCAGACACAATTGAACAGTCAACACAGTTCACGCCCCAGAGGGACATCATGAAACTCAAATGAAGCCTTTGCATGTTTTAAATCACTGTATAAATGGAAGTTATTTTTTATATGTATTGCTACTTACTGTCCAAATACTAAGCTATCTCTCATAATTTTCACTGTTCTTGGTTGAAACACAGACCTCCTTCGGGTGACCATGTACCTAGGCTTTGCCTCCTCTCAGCATGGTCACGGGGTGCCATATTTCCCCGGCTTCCCTGAGTACATTCTCCCAACTCTTCCTGTTCTTTCTTCATCTGGAGAGCTTTCTCCATGAATAGTTGTCTTGGGGTCCCCGAGTCCTGCTGTGCCCCATCAGACACTGTAAAATTCCCTCTGGTGACCAGGCTGGAACCACAGGAATTGTCTCTTGAGCTCTATTTCCTGGGTTGGACCCTAGTCTTTATCTCTAATTCATCCACGGATTCATTTATTCATTCATTTATTACAGATAAGACACAGTATTTAACATTTGATGATTAAGTCCCATAGACATATCTGGCAGCAGACTAAACATTTTGCAGGACATTGTTTTCCATTGAGTGTTTTCTTTTTCATAGTAATGGTCAATGATTAAAATAAGTGGGAAACTGTATAGTGTAACAGAAAGCTCCTTAAGAGCAGAACTAATTTTTAAATTAGTAATTTCATTTCATCTTTAAGTTCAACAAGTATTTATTAAGTGCATATTATACACCAAGTACCATGGTGCTAGGCATTAGGGATACAGAGACAAAATGAAACAATCCCTGTTCTCAAAAAGCTAACATTCTACTGGGGATAGGAGGAGGGAAACAACTGGTAGGTAAACAAATAGACAAATGTGAATCAAATGTGAGGCATGTACAAAATAAATACAAATAATTGGATAGCACTAATAAATAGGGCAGCTAGGTGGCGCAGTGGATAGCGTGCCAGGCCTGGAATCAAGAAGATTTATCTTCCTCAGTCAAATGTGGCCTCAGACACTTACCAGCTGTATGACTCTGCGTAAGTCATTTAACCCTGTTCGCCTCACCTTCCTCATCTGTAAAATGAGCTGGAGAAGGAAACAGCAAACCTCTCCAGTATTCTTTGCCAAGAAAACCTCCAATCAGGTCACGAAGAGTCAGAGATGACTGAAAAACGACTCAACAGCTAATAGGAGAATCAGGAAAGACTTCATGTAGGAGGCAACATTTAAACTAAATGAAGATGGGGATTCCAAGAAGGAGAGTTGAGGAGGGAGTGTTTTCCAGACATGGGGGACAGCCTATTGCAAGTGTATGGATGGAGGAAGGGGATGGAATATTGTGTATGGAGAATAGCAAATATGGCAGTTTTTTCATTTATGACTTTGTAGTCCCAGTGCCTAACAGAGTGCCCAGCACATAGTAGGTGCTTGATCAATACTTGTTAAATTGAAATGAGAAAAAACAAAACATTAGGCTAAAAATGAGAAGACCTTGGATTCTTTTCTCTCTCTCTCTCTCTCTCTCTCTCTCTCTCTCTCTCTCTCTCTCTCTCTCTCTCTCTCTCTCTCTCTCCTCTCTCTCTCTCTCTCTCTCTCTCTCTCTCTCTCTCTCTTTTAGGCAATTGGGGTTAAGTGACTTGCCCAGGGTCACACAGCTAATAAGTGCCCAGTATTTGAACTCAGGTCCTCCTGACTTCAGGGCCAGTGCTCCGCACCACCTAGCTGCCCCCAAGACCTTGGATTCTAACCCCAGCTCTGTCACTCAGTGCCTGGCCTCAGCTTATTTATTCCTCCTTCATGCCTTCTGGGGATCGCTCTTCCAGGCTCTTGATCTTGACAGCTATTTCCCCATCCCACCCTTGGTTCCTGACTCCTTCTCCACCATACCCACTTAGACTGTGCCAGCAGCTTAGCCCTTTCCTTTTAGTCTTTCCCTTGCCTTCTCTCTCCAGGTGCGGAAAATTGGGGTGTTCAGCTGTGGCCCCCCTGGCATGACCAAAAACGTGGAGAAGGCCTGTCAGCTCATCAATCGGCAGGACCAGACTCACTTCTCCCATCATTACGAGAATTTCTGAGGCCAGATAGAGTCTATCATTGCCTACCTCTGCTCATCTGGAGCTCAAGGAACAGCTCCTGCCCAGGCCTAGCCCAGCCCTCCTCTTACCTGCTGAGGTATCTGGGGCTTCAGGTGATTGCAGTCACACATGAGAACCCAGGCTATGTCCCAGCCTCTTCACCTGGAGCCGTGATGGTTGCTGGGGAAGAAACATGAGGATCACAGGCTGTGGTGAAGGGAAACTACTTTTTTTGTGGGGGGCAGTGGAGGAGGGGAGGAGAGAAAATAGTCCCTTCCCTTGTAGTCTGCTGTTTCTGTGCCGTCCCCTGCAGTTGGGAGTAGGAGTATTCCTGGGGTACAGATGCTGGCATCTTTGAGTTCTCCCCACTCCATGTATGTGAGAAAACATATGTAAATAGCTTTGCAAACCTTAAAATGCTATCCAAATGCTAGATATGAGCCCCCTTAGATTCTTCGGTTGGGTTGATGTGGCTTTGGAACACTGGATGGCTGGGGAGGAGAGGCAAGAGTGGGACCATTTTACCTTTCCTTGGACTTGAGGACTCTCCCTCCTCTCCCCACTCATCCTTCCCTCAGGATCCTAATCCAGTTGTAGTCTTGTCTCATGTTTTTAAATAGCCCCAGTTTCATTCCAACACAGACCACGGCCTGGGGCTTTCTATCCCAGGCTTCCATTCATTCAGGTAACTCCCCCCATTCCAGCTGGAATATTTTCATTCCATTCATTTACTGTTCTATGCAAATAAACCATTTTTCTGCCCTTCTGGAGTCTCTTAATTCTGCCCTCTTGCCAGCTAAACCTAAGAACACTGACCCAGCTGACATTTGCTTCAGAAACATCCAGGGCTGGGCAGTGCTGACATCTTAGTTGGGCTGTGCCCAGTGATTCTGAGGACCGAGACTCATCCCAGTCTGTCACATTCTCTGTGATTCCTACCTGGGAGGCAATTAAGGGAAAGAAACCTTAAGTTTTCTCATAAAAGGTTCCTTATCCAGTCTCCCACATTTACTAGACATGACCCCTGATACTAAAAAACTTCCCTCAGGGAAAATGAGCAAAATTATCTCAAATCTGTTAAAAGTTTAGGTCTCCTCAGGTGAGAGGAGATGCAGGTGATATTGGGTTGAGGGTTGGAATCAGACTGTAGTGAAGAGTCTTTGACTTGTAATCAATGAACCTGCACTGAAGTCCTGGTTCTGTCTCTTATTAGCTGTGTTACCCTAGGCAACCTTCAACACCTCAGCCTGTTTTTCTCACCTGTGAAATGGGAATAACACTTGCATTAACTACCACTCAGTTATTGTGAAGAAAATGCTTCTCAAACCTTGAAATGCTATACACAAACATAGTAAGTGGAGTCGTAGGAGGAAGGAATTATCTGGCAGTGCTTGGGGGTAAAGGGTACAATACTTGGAGAGAGACATTCTTTGTCATCCTGGCCCACTCTCCGTACTCCTCTTTGGGCCCTGGACTCTCTCAAGCCCCATTTGTCAGTGCTAAGTGGACTCTGCCCTGCTGAGAATGTGGAGAACATTGCCTTAAGAGAACTCAGACTCCATAGATATACTCAGTTGGATTTTCGAACAATAAAAAAATCTCATGCTTCCAGGGAGCCCAGTATATGGGGGAGAACGGGGGAGGGCATTTATTCAAGGGACACTTGGATTCTTTCGGGAGTTGGGGGAAGAGACCTACATGAGACAAAAAGGAAAAAGCTTTGGGCCCTGTCTTGAAGTCCCTAACACCACACAAGGAAACCCTTAAACCATCACAAAGATTCTCCGGTTAGGAAGAACAGGTTGGCCATGATGCAATAGGACTGACAGGCCAGGCCAGGGTAGTCATGTAAAACTTTCCAGGGTTTTTCAGAATTGGAAGATAATCTGGTGCAGTGCACCTCCGATCTCCTGTAAGAACCACGTGAGAGCGTCGTTGGTTATCTGGCCACTGGCCCTTGGCAGGATCTGTACTGTCCCTTGGTTGTTGCCGGTGGTACTATGATGAGGTACACCTGGTGATAAGCTTAACTACGTGGTATAAGGGTTATTTCTAAGCCAACTTTGTAGTCACTGCCCGTTACCTCGATTCCTTTTTCAGATCAGGTTGTAGGCTCAGAGAGATCCGGTCTGACCAATAACATCCTGCTAATAACTGCTTGAAACTCGGCATGTCCGTCTCTCTCTGGGCCTCTAAAATCTCTAAAATGAAAGGATTGGACTACATCAGAGGTTCTTAACCTTTTTTTGAACAGTTTCCTCAGTCTAATATTTTTAAATAATTTAAAGAAATGCTGAATTTCGGGTAGCTAGTGTTATGAAAATAAGAATGTGATTTTTCGCTAAGTTCATGGGCCCCCTGAAATCTATCCACTAACTCCCAAGAACCCCTGGACTAGATAAAATCCCTGAGGTCTTTTTCTAGCGCCAAAGCTCTGGAGAGAAGAAAAAGAGGCTGAACCTGCCGCTGATCCCTGACGGCAGTGGCCAGGCCCCGGAGGTTCCCCAAACTCTCCCGCGCTCGCAGTTAGAGGCGGCCGCCAGCAGGGGGCAGGGGGCACTCACTGGAGCGTCCCCCTCTTTCTTGGGGCAGGGCGGGCAGGCTCTGCGCCCGCTGGCAAGGCTGAGAGCTGCGTCCCAGGCTTTGCCCCACGAGTTGGGAGCTGGCTTCTGCCCTCAAGCCTGTTTTCCCTGCGACCACAGTGCTACAGCCGCTCCCCTCGGAGTGGCCAGGGCAGAAATGCGAAAGCAAAGCAAACCAGCCCAACCTCTCTGTCCTGTCCTAGCGGTCCCCACCCCCGCCCCGGGCCGGATTTCCCCCCTCCCCTGGTGCTGGGCTTTTCGCGTGTCAAGGTCTCCTTCCTTTCCCCTCCTGCCTGCCTACCCTCCTTCCCTCTCCCTGCGTGTCTGTCTCCGGCTCTTTGTCTCTCTCTCCAGCTCCCCCTCCTCCCTAACAAATGATTCTTGGCAGGAAATTGAACGTGCTCCTCGGGGAGTCTTACTCTTACGCGCAGTATCGGAGGCGCGGGCAGCGGGGAGGAAAGGGGGAGCCCCGACACGCCGCCGCCATACGCCTCCCCGACCCCAGCGCAAGCCAGGGTGGGGGCGGCGAGAGGGTAATGTTTTGACATCTAGTCAAGGAAGAACTTGATGCTTCGGGAAAGTGCTTTTCACAGCCGTTCAGTGTCGGCTCCAAAACTGATTTATCAACAGAATCTGTTTGCGCTTCGCTGCTTGCGGATCCCTTCCCACCCCCAGCGCCGTAGTATTTCTTCTCCCCCAAAGTCCTCATCCTAGGGGCGGGAGGGTGCGGATGGGCGCGATGCCCGGGGGGTGGTTAATAATGCTGGAGCTGAGCCAGGGAGGACAACCCGCAGAACTGGCTCCCTCAGTCCCCCCCTCAAATCCTCCTCATTTCCCCTGTCCCCAGGGCCAGGCATTACCAAACACCATCTTCTTCATTTCTGCTTCTTTTTTTCTCCCCTTCACCTCAGAGACTTGGCAAGGGACCTCTTTAGTTTGAGGATGGAGATGAGTGTTGTGGGAGGTTGAGTTAAGACAGAATGCGATGGCCACTTAGTAGTCTGAAAGCCTGCTCCATGCCCATCCCCATCCCCCAACAGACCCCCAAGCGCCTGGGAGCTTCTGCAGGCGCCAGGGCTGAGGTCTGAGGACCTCTTGGCCATTCAGGTTCCAGTCTTGGAAAAGGGCGTGTAGTCGTGCATCCTGGACCTCCTGAAACCTTATCAGGGTGCCATGGAGGCCCAGCACCCCTGATTGCCTGTGAGGCCAAAACTATCCTAGCAGCAGGAGGTGGAGGCGCTTCCAGCTCCAGAGGACCTTAGAAAGGGAAGGATGTCCTACTCATTGCCCAAGGCATTTTCTCTTCTCTCGGGGCATCACCCCTACCCGCAAAACCCGACTGACTTTCCCTTTTAGAATAAATTAAAGAAGCTTTCGTCTCAGCCTCTGGGAGAAAATGGAATGGGAGGGGAACAAGGGGAAAAGAAAGGGATCCCTAGGGGCCGCATAGGTTCTGATTAGGTTCTCTCCCAGGAAGAAACTATAGTTCAACAGCTGGTGGGAGGGGGGCCAGAGGAACTGAAAGAGAATCCTAGGTGGGGGCTCCTTTTCAACCCTGGGTCTGTGATGGCTGCTGATCCTCTGGCCCTACAGAGTTCGAATGGCCACAGGGTAGAGCAGAGACATGTGCTCGGCCCCCTTGATGGGCAGCTTCCGGCTGGCGTAGTGATGTACGATCTCTGGGACGCTGCTGAAGGGCGGGCTGTTCTGGCCCAGCACGTACTTGTGCTCCTTGGTCCGAGACAGTTTCATGTGCATGAAGCCCTGGCTGCTCCTGGAAAGAGGGGAGGAGAGCTTGGTAAACTCCAGTGTGGCTGGCGGGGCCTTCTTCCTGCCCCATGGCTAACAGAGTAGGTTGCTACTCTGGGCGAATCACCTGATCTCCCTAGTCCCAGGGGACTGTGAAGAAGGGGGAAAAGCTGAGAAGGAAAAGAGGTTGGAGAGAGACCTTTGGTCATGGGTCCATGCTGTATGCACAGGTGGTGGAGAAAGATGGGGAAAAGGTGTGAGCGGAGTAGGAGTAGGTAGAAAGAAGTCCCAGCTATGCTCAAAGTTTTGGGTGGGACAGGAATGTGTGAGTATGCAAGATGTGCAAGACCTTAGAGGGTGTGACTAAATGCAGGAAAGACCCAGCGTCTCCCAGCATGGCCACCAGAGAACCAGAACCTCCTCTGCCCTGACCTGTGCTTACAATAGTTCTTTGAGGAGAAAAGGTGAAATAAAAGCTGGGGGTGGTGATAACCAGGAGAATGCTTTGGTGAGTCAAATCAAAACAGGGTTTCTAAAGCTGTTCATTTGTGTCTCCTAGGAGCTGGCACACTCCTTGGGGCTGCAATCAGATGAGACAACTAAACCCTAACATGTAGGAATAAGTCAGAAATAGCTAGCTCTCACTGAAAGACCTGAGCTTTGGGGAAGTTGCTGCATTGCACCCTCCCCCTCCTTCCCCTAGCTTCATGGTCCTGCTATTCCTCTCCCCACCACCTCTGGAGCATACTAACCCTCCCTCCTCCACAGCTGCTCAGGCCCGTCTGCGGCCTCAGATAGCTCCTCCCCACACCCTCCCACTATCTGGCCTGGCCAGGCAGAGAACCTCCCCTGGGCCTCTGTCTACCTCCCCCCCCAATCAGTCTGGGATGATGTCATCTGTTCTCAAGGCTGCAGCTCTTCTCCCTCGGTAGAAGACATACTCCATTGCCTCTCCTGAATCCTGGCCCCAGTCTAGGAAACAAGCAAAAGGAGTGATTGGGGCCTGGTCCCTCATCTACTGCCCTAAAAGAGGAAGAGAGGAGTCCAGGCCTGGACAAGCAACTGAGTCACCAGGAAAAGCAAGGATGCAAAAGTCTAAGACACCATCCTGGAGTTTGTTTTCAACTCTCACTTGAACTTGGCCTGCCCCTGTGTTAAGTACCATGCCTAAAACCCAATGGCAAGAACCCCATAACAGCCTTATTCAGCTGTTGCATGATGTTTTGGGAATGTTAGCATGATGGGGAGGGGAGAAGATATAGTGTACTCCAACCACTGTCATGCATGTGTGCACCAGACTACCCTGGTTAGGATTCAATGGATTTAGAGATTGGAAGAGAGAAAATATAACTTCATCTATCCTCACCTACCCCATAGCAGTTCTGCCCCCTTGAATCTCTGCTTTACTACTCCTTCAAGATCCTTCCCTGGAAGGCTCTATGGGACCAAGGACCCTTTAGTCCCTGGACCCTAATCACCCTTCCTTGGTGAGGTCCAAGGCCCAAAGAATGCCACCTTCTTCCCTCTTCTCCATATTCCCTCCCCTGTTATGTGGAGGTCAGAGTATAAAGTGGCTTCTCTTTAGGCCCCTAACTAAGAAGGACTTCTGAGGGGAGAAAGGAAAGAGAGAGAGAAGGTAGGAAGAAGGGAGAAAGAATAAAATGGAGGAAGAAAAAAAATTCCCTGCAAGCCTTAGTGACAGCTCACCCCTCTCCCCAATCCCACCTCTTCTACTGTGCCCTGAGGCTTTTGCCAGCAGTAAGACAAGTACTCCTGTCTGCCTCAGCTGCCTGTGAGCCTTCAGGACCAGGTGGAGGGGGGTCTTCCATCTGCTAGTTTGAGGAAGACAATGATTGGACCCAGGCTCCAAAGGGGAGAAGCCCAGAAGAAAATAAGGAACTAGGAAAGAGGCTGGTGGTTGGCAGAAGGATGAGGTATATGAAAGGGTGGGAAAGAAATAGAAATAACTATAAACACTCTATTCTGTCCCTAGGACCAAAACACCCTGTTGTTATTCAGGTGTGTCCTATTCTTTGTGATCCTATTTGGGGTTTACTTGGCAAAGATACCGGAGTGGTTTGCCATTTCCTTCTCTAGCTCATTTTACAAATGAGGACACTGAGGCAAACAGGGTGAAGTGATTTGCTCAAAGCTACAGTTAGTAAGTGTCTGAGGCCTGATTTGAACTTGAGTTTTCTTGATTCCAGCCCACCTAGCTGCCTGCCTAAACATCCTGGCCTCATGAGATAGAATCGTTCCTCTCCCAGGGACAGAGTTAATTCCACTGAGGTGCCCCTGACCTCAGCTTCCTTCAACGCCTGGACTGACCAGAGTGAGCTGTCTGGTAGCTGGTGCACTGGAATCTAGGCTCACCTACTGATGCAGTGATGACCCAGCACCTCTCTTGGGTCTCAGTTTCTCCCTTCTGTACAGCATGATTCCCTCTCAGAGACTAAAAGTAAATAAAAGGGAAAGTAGAAGGAGCCTCAGGGAGAAAACCTCCAGGGACTATTACCATATAAATGACCTAGCCCTACCCAGTCCACCTTCTCCTTAGGGAACCAGACCCAGGGAGACTCTGGGACCCCTAGCCCAGAGGCTGGGGATGGCTTTGGGAGGAAGCTTTTTTAATTACCAAAGAAGACCCTTCCATTACAGAGAGTTGGGAAAACCACAATTATATTTCAAAGAAGTCCATATGTATGCAAACGAGGCTCTGTTGGACAGATGCTATAAGGGTCAGATCAGCAACCCCGCCACTACTAACATCAGGCAGCCCCCAGCCAACTCACTCCTACCCTGGGTGTTTGACTCCCAGAAATACCCCTCCCCCAACTGCATCTCCCCCCACCCCAGTCAATAGAGTAGCATTGTTAAAGGGTCAAAGTGTTTCCCTCTCCCCTCCCCCACATATCCCTGAGTTCAGTTCTTCACTTTATGGGATATGGTTTACAAGTCATAATTTTGTTAAGTGCACTCCTAGCCATTGAAATGGCACTGGAGATTGGGAATCCAGGCTCCCCTCTGCCAGAGCCTTGCTGACTAAGTGGCAGTGTTCAGACTAGAGCCCACATCTCTCTGGGTCAGTTTCCTCATCTATATAATGAGGGGGTTAGACTGAAAGACCTTCCCTTCCAGTGCTAAACCTGTGACCTAGTGTTGACTCTACCTGTATGATCTTAGGTGAATGCTTTTGTAAAGCAAACATTTATGTATTTGGTAGATAGGAGTTTTCGTATCTTGTGTTTACTTATAGTAGAGGGAGTATGTCTGGACTATTACTGGGAGTAGTCAGTCTTGAGGAGGGGGTGAGGGAAGACAATGGATAGTGCTGATTAAGTGATTCATCCTGGGCAACTTTTCCTTGATGTGATGTTCTTATAATGGTGATATGGGGGTGGGCAGCACCATCTTCTTTTCTGGCACAGTTTGGCAACTTCTCCTGGTATATGGGCTCTGCCAGGCTTTTGGAGGCCTGGGGCCCAGGTTTGGTGGTCAAAGCCCTGCTTTGACCCTAGATGCCTACCTTCAAGGACTAGTTGTTATGGTCTGCCTTCATGATGACAGGGGAACCAGAGGGAGAAAGAGGGCCAGGTGTCGTCTGCTGCTCACCTGGTACCTCTTCTAGGCCTCATCTTCTAGTGATTAAATGCAAGCTCTTATGGCACCCAGCCATACCCCCTTTTTCTGAGTGAATGAGGGCCCTTTCTTTAGCCCCATGGACACTGCCTTGTGCTTCATCTT